GGGGGGGGGTTGATTAATCCGATGTTGGCATTATATATATATATGTATACATACATATAAAAATATCCCTAGATCCTATGCTTGGTTTTGCATCGCCTGTTCTGCTGGTTGAACCTCCCGTTTCAAGCAATAGGGAAACTTTTTAATCCCTAGCAGCCACGACACGCGGTTTCCGCAATCGTCTTCTCGTATCTCAATCACTTCCTGCGGCCCAGTGGCAATGGAAGCCAGTGAAAAACAATATGCAAACCAATGGAAAAGGAACCAATGGAAAACAATGGAAATCAGTGGAAAGCAATGGAAAACAAATAGAAAACACCACATGAAAACAGCAAACACTTGAGAATATTCCTCCTCACGGGTCCCCTGCCTGAAATTCCCACCCCAAAGCCTGGCCGTGGGCCTCGAAGGGGCTGGAGGTTGATGCCTTGATTGTCAGATCGATGGGGTTGGCCCATCCGCAGTGCTCATGTTCGTCCACGATGTCCTGAAAGTCGAGGATCCCTTCATGGCTGAGAAATTCTAGCACTAAATAGGCATTGAAATGGGAAACAGATATGGTAAAATCACCTATATGATTAAATGAAAGAAAAAAAACATGCGGATATCGCCAAAAATCCGATGTAAAGAAAACATGAGACCAAGTTTGGTGTTGATAGATTTGGGGTGTACCCGGTACCCCATTCTTGATGAAACCGGAGTGCTGGACAGGCCACACTTTAGACCATCAAGTGCTGAGCATGACCCCCCTCCAAACATTTCAAAACGAGGATCTTTCCCAACAAAGAACTGTAAAGTTTTTAGTTAAAAAAAACAACAAAGCACAAATCATCCGTAATTATGTCCCTAACGGAGCATGAACATACCTCTGCGGTTCATGAACCTTCGATGAAACTGGCATCTACGGCCTCCACTGGATCAAACAGCAGGTCGAAGCTGTCCGCATACACTGGATGAGCATCCACCGCCAGCGCAAAAAAAGAACCTCCAGGCCAGGCTTGGGATGAGGAGAAACAACCTATGGATCGAGCTGTCAAACCTCGAGATCTTCATGGGTTTCATGGATTTTCATGGGATTTCTAAGCATCGAACATCGTTCTATCAAACATCGAAGTACATCGCAAGATCAAAAATTATCCATCAAGGATCGAGGGCAATTACACATGGGGATTTACCCTCAGGCAATCTAAGTTGGCAATGAGAGTCATGCATCTACATATTTACTTAGAGTATATCTCAAGATTTGTTTGGTAAAATTAAAATGTGTGTTTCACATTCCTTTTGTTTGATTACAAAAGGGTGATACTAACACCGTACTTAAGTCACATCAGGCGGGAAAAGTCACATCATCCCCATGGCACGGCGGCGATACGGAGAAGTCACATCAGGTAGTGGAAAGTCACATCAGGGAAGAAGAATCACCATGGCACAGCCTGTTTCATCCATACTTGGAGATGTAGTTAAAAGTAGCCGAAGCATTGCGCACAGCAATGATTTTGAAGGGCACAAGTTAATACAAACAAATTCTCGGCAGCTAATCAGCAGCAGGCAAGCAGCAGGCAAGCAGCAAGGAAGCAGCAGGCAAGCAGCAGGCAAGCAGCAGGCAAGCAGCAACCAGCGTTTGCCCCCTTGAAAGAATGATCAAATATATTTTTCAAAAATCAACGCAAAAAAAAAAAAACATTGAACTTTTTCCAGCCGCACGGCCCCAAAACAATGAAATTGTTCAATTACTAAAAGTTGTGGTGATGCCAAACTTGAACTTTTTCCAGGCGCACGGCCTCCCGATACGACTTTTACAAGCTGATACGACTTAACGCTAGCGTTAGTAGCATCTGATAGCACTTGGAGCAGGAGTCACCTGGTAAACACTGGTGCTATCCATGCCATGAGTAACCAAAATCAATTCATGGAGGGGATAAAATTGGGTTTTGCACACTATGCTTATGCTCTATATATTTAAAAAAAAAAACACAGATTTTTGTTTAAGGGTTGCACATCTCACTATATAATACTATATATATATACATATATATGTAGCTTCAGGAACCATTACATCCCAGTTGTAAGGGCTGAAATCATGTACAAATTTCAGGTAGTAAAGGCGTGAGAACGTGAGGGCATACATTTGTTCCGAAAGCTAGACTTTCCCCACAGACATCATTGAAGATTAGTCCGGGAACATAACAATCATATAGTATGGTTATTTTGAGTTTGGACATGTCGAAATGACTGTGCCAGTGGACATGCAAAGCCATCTAATCTAAGTGTGTACATATATAGATGAGTCTGCAAATATCTCTGTCGATGTTGCGGACATTGTGAAGTTATGTCAAGTTGATACCACCGCTCACTGAATATTCCAGCCTCAGCATGCTTGTAAAAACTCAATTTCAAGACAGTCGGAGTCGGACAATCTACCCTCTGGTAAACTAACATAACTATGGAAAATCACTATTTTTAATGGGAAAATCCACTATAAATGACAATTTTCAATAGCTGTGTTAGTTTACCAGAGGGTAAAACTGACAACCAACCATTTTCCACACGGTGCCGAGGGGCTCCATTGCAAACGACGAACGGCTGGGCGCGGCATGGCGACTGTGGAATTGATGCAGGTGGGGCGTGGAGTTGTGAGTGTTTGATACCGGGTTGGTACTTTCAGCCACCTTAAAAAAATGGAAACAGGCAGCCCGTAAGGGCCAGTTCGGGTCCATCATCCCATGCTCTTGCATTAGGAAAACGCAAACCAAACCACAAACTATACCAACCAACTTTGCATATCGATGTGGGGTGACGGAGTGATTGTCTTCCACCATTTACTGGTCGGCACCAACGAGTAAACGCGATGCAGCAACCATTGAGTACCAAAAACACTTTACATACATACTATTATTTACTGTACATGAAATATGTGTAAAGCAAGAAAATGGCAGAAATCAGCGACTTGACACTCAGATTCCCAATTGTTCCATTAGATACAGCGGCTGCCAAAACACGTGGCGGATTGACCAGCTGCGGGGTTTGCGCAGGTGAAGCTGAGACTTTTTTCGGATGATCTCTTGGATGTTTGACGAACCCGCAAGGGTTCCCCCAATTCCTCTCCTTCCTTGCGGAAGATCCAATGATCCATGTGGCGTTGATACCAATGATAGAATTGAACCGCGCTCAATGGGCGAATTTAAGCATGCATTCTCATTTGGAAAAGTATGGCCAAATGTACAATTCTATAATGTACTGTTGTATCTAATATATGGGTTTGCCTGAAAACAGGGCACCATACGGATGCAATAGTGTACCATCATGTTCCCCTTTTAAATCCACATATCAACTGATTCATTCTCCATTTCACACCATGAATATCCCATGAATCAAATGGATCAATCCCATTCAACCCAGATTTTCCATGGCGGTTTCCCCAGGTTTTCCGTCGCTTTCCCCACCTTACGCCATCGTTTTTTTTTGACTCCTGCGGATAGCATACCAGGAGTCGATTTAAGGCTCTCTCAGGCGCAGTGGCTGCAGGATTTCCAGGCCTCCATCGCTGAGGCGGGGGAGGTGGTAGCTGTCATTGTTATATAACGCTTAAGAAAACAACTATAGATGATAGGTACTAAAAATATAGATGATAGGTTCTTATATATATATATACACAGTATAACTATAGATTTAGAATGATTTAGATCAACAAGACAATTATTGCATGATATTATAGACTATACAAACTGTTTCAAAAGTACTTACGGTATATATTTTTTTAATAATAGATAACGTATTAAGGTGAAATGAGTCAAATATATATATATATACCTATAATTAATTATAATTATAGATAGGGGCAAATAATGATGAATATTATTGGGCTGGTCTTAGTCTACTTAGTATAAAAATGGAAAATACATGAAAGCAACAAACCTTGTCCTCTCGGCTATCAACGTCATGGGCCCTCGTGGTGAGTGTTTCAAATGACACGTGGCCAATAGGCGCACACCATATCTGTATATCATGTGTGTATAGACAACTATGTATTGTCTTCTGCTGCCTTTTAATGTTGTTTCAAGTATGTAAATATTCATGCATACATACATTTATACATATATATATATATACATATTCTACATATATATATATATATGTATATATATATATATTCGTACATAATGCAACACGTTCAAAAACCGTATATTTAAGGGATGTCAACAACTCTACCCATGCCATCCCATGCCTACACACGATCCCTCCCACGAAGGCCACGACCCGACCGTCGGATACCGTCGGCACCTCCAGATATATTTCCCCGAAGGCTGGGAGGTCCACACAGGCTCCTGTACCTACCCATGATACCCTCTGGTAGACTGTCCCATAACTATGGAAAGATCCACCATTTTCAATGGGTAAATCCACTATAAATGGCCATGTTCAATAGCTATGTTAAATTACCAGAGGGTATCGTTGGTGAAAACTTCATCGGCTTTGCTTCTTAAACGCAATGGAAACCCTGTGGCAATCAGACATAGTAATGGAAAATAGTTCAGCAATTGGAATTTTCCAGCAAGCCATGTTTGATTACTGGAAGGTAAATAATGCCAACCACACCATCTTAGTCCATAAAAGGTGAAATGCGTAAAGGTTCATATCACTTTGATGATAAAAATCATCGAATCATGATTCCCTATATTCCATTATCCCAGTATGGGGGAATTAATATATGTTGGAACGATCGAATATCATCATTCCATCCTCCCAACATTCCCAACAGAACCTCTTCGGTGACACGCTGCCGGATGGTCTCGGACCATGGCACCAAACGCACCAGAAAGGCGCGCCTCAGACGCGACTGCAATCCGAAGATATAACTTATAGATTATAGAATTATAGGTGTCATATGATATACATCTTCATACTGTGGATGGAAGAAATCCTGCGCCAGTTGGCAACCGGTAGGTAACTATGAAACATTGTAAATAATGGGGTTATAAGAGGATAAACCATATACCAACTGGTGCAGGATTTCTTCCATCCACAGTATCACTAGATGATTCTAAGTCATAATTTTATTAATCGGTTCTTTCTTTCTTTTCTTTCTCGTGCCGTAGGCGTGTTCACTACTCGGTGCTGTCTCTAAGTCTAAGGAAGCAAAGTCTCTCTCACACCCGTAGGCACCCCTAATAAGCCAGCAACTCTCAGTACAGCTCGGGCAGCATGTAGACATCTAATATCGGACATAACCACTTTATTCATCGGTTATATTGGATAATATTTTTTACAATCATAGATAGATATAAAACAAATATAGATGAAACATATTCTCCATATATATGTACATTCTCTATCTATATCTATATCTATTTATATGTGTATATATATGTGTGTGTGTGTATGCTGGACCAATTTGACTTCACATGTTCCTTTTCATGTCCAGCTTCTCAACAACCAACTGCAACTGGCATCACAGCAACTTCTACTGGCTGAGCACTCCCTAGTTATGGTGCCTTGGCCTTACCATCTTTGTTGGGTCATCGTGTCAAGCCTGTTTCCAAAATCCTTGGGTCCCGGAGAAAAATATGGCATAACTCAATGTGGCATAACCATTTTTTCTTCAAACTCAATTTTCAGAACTTGAAATACATGTTCCTAATCCCTTCCCCCTAAAATTTGAAAAAACACCCCCTAGAAACCATGGTTTAGCAGAGAATTTCCACATAATTGGGACCATTTATGGGGTGTTTAATATTAGGGTGATGGGATTAATAATTCGCATTTGAACCCGGGCCCCGGGTTGATGTAGCAAACGGCCTGCTGTGGGCAGATCGATTCTCCAAAGACCGGTGAGGTGTCAATGGATGATGAACCTCGATCATCCAAACATCAAACAATGAGAAGTTCGTTTAATCCAGTGTGAATGGGCAAATAGAAAAGTATAGTCTAATAGTGTCTCTTGCGGAAAAAAATAGGGGGTGGTTTGGTATACAGTAATTGTTAGAAGTTACCTACTGATTGTTATATTGGAGATCTCTCAAACCAACAAGTGTCAACATGATTTAGGCATGAAATGGGGGTTTAACGAACAAAACCGAGATTTTCACCATGCATTTTTGTTTGTTATATAAACTGATGAGATCGCAATTTGGTTTTGGCATTTCTGATAGGGGAAGTGGCGACATAAAGGAGGTACCTTCAACCACAAAAAAGGCGGTTCGCAAGAAGCCAAAGTTTGGGCATACCCAATTTAATAAAGCATGTTTTTGGGAGATAGAGATTTTGATTGTGGAGTGTGCAGTGCCCACTGGTTTGTATTTCTGATCAATACATATCAATACTGTAGTCATTTGGTGCTGGTGGATTCGCATACCTTCTTTGATTGCGGCTTCCAGTTTTGATTGTGGCTCCCAGCCTTTAACCCTTTAGAACTTTAGAATGAGTTTGTAGCATCAATGACTGGAGAACCATATAAGTTTATGGAGATCATATGATGCTGACTCAGAGTGACCCTGGCCCTTGTTGGCAATCGCTGTGCTACAATGGTAGGCTTGTGCAAGAAGGATCCAACATGCATTGAAATGATGAACTATGGGAGCCCATCATAGGTTTCGCTAGATTGTTGGTTGTTCCTACATGTGTTCAAATTTAACATATCACTGTGTCTTGTTGGACCCCGTGCTACTGAAGACGCGCCCACGTCGCTGCTTACACCTTCGGGGCGTTTCAAACTAGCATTGAACATCTACAAACAATAACATTTGAAAAAGAGACAACTGAACAGACTGATGAACTTCCAAAAATGTTCATGGATGTTAATGGATGTTAATGGTACATACCAGACTTGTAGGATAGGTTGTATCCACAACACTACCGGGGCATTGTGATTGCGTTCAAGAAACACCCGCCTGTCCCGGTAAGAGCTTGTACTCAACGCTGTGGCCTTGCAGCAAGGGGTGCAATCTGGAAGTCCAATATAATAGCTGAGACGAATCTTGTCCCCAAAGCATGTTTTGTTTCCGCTTTCGTGGTGGTTGGCTGTTCCGTATATTAAGCTGCATGCGAATACTTCTGTGCATTTATACTGATTCCGTTCTGGAAACTCACTGGTTCCCTTCTTATCATTGTTGTGGTGGTTATATATATATATATATATCATGTATGTATATGTATCTATATTCACTATATACTACTAATTATACTGTACATATGTATATATATATATATATTCATACTGTATATATATATATACATATATCTACACTGTATATATATATACACCTGTGCTTCTTCATGTTTTCATTGGGTTTGAAGAGAATATTACAGGAAACCTCCCATTTACAATGGGAAAACCATGGAAAGTGTTCATGTGTTTCTGCAGATTTCCCTGAAATATCCTGAAATAATCCCAAACAGTTGGTTTTAAAAAACCGTACGAGCGGCAATCATATATATATATATATTACATATGATTTATAATTATACATTCATTTATTTTAATCCATATATATATATATAGACATAATTATGTATTGTAGGCCCACAGTGAAGTTGGAGTTACTTGCACCAAGTTATCTAACGAACTGGAGCAACATGGCTGTGCCGAGACGCCATGTGCTGCGGCATCCACGATGGCTCCCTTCGGGACAGCGGCGCCCAGCAGTTCGCGGTGCCGTCCGGGGACCATCCTCGGCGATCACGGCGATTAGATGTATCAATATGTATATGTACACATGCATGTGGATATTTTTTTTATACAATATAAAAATTCATGCGTATATATATATTTCTGGAACCCCAAGAGACCATTTTCCAGGCATCAAACACATATTATGTAAAATGATGATATCAGTTTCAAAATTGCGCATCTCATCAAAAAAATCATGGGATGCTGCAACTCCCATTAAATACTCAATCTCATCAAATATCCCATACAAATAGCCAGATTAAGCCAGATTTATTACTGAAATTTCATGGGATATCCCATCCCATTAATCAAATTCTCGTACTCAAATGTCTACCAAGGAGCTCCATACCTCCAGATTCAGAGGATGCAGTGTCCAGTGCCACCCACCTTGTCCCCACTTGGCCCACTGGGCAACAGCAAAAAAAACAAGGTAACATTGGTAACATCATTTATTCATGGTAACATAGACATATTTTAAATGGTTCCCCATCTATGTCGTGTTGGAACAATTTAACGTGTGGTACCATAGCTATGTCTATTTTATTCATGGTAACACAACACGACAGAACATAGGGGGAAGCCATGGGGAAACCCCATTCGGAAAATGATCTGCTGTGCTGTGTCGTTTTTTTTTTCCCCCACGGCTACCCTCTGGTAATTTAACGTAGCTATTGAAAATGGCCATTAATAGCGGATGTTCCCATTAAAAATCTACAATTTTTGCGTTTGTGAAGCTCAACAGTTTCACTAGGTTGGTGAAGTGTCTAGCTTCACAATTTTTGCTGGATGCTGAATGGCTGGATATAGTTGGATGGGTTGAAAAACATTAAACACCAAGCAGAAAATTTCCATTCATATCCATCAGAAACGTTGATAAACATAGGTCCAAAAAATATGATGAGAAGGGTTACCAATGGTTGCCAATGGTTTCAAAAAACATCTATGAAACATCTTTGTAACCAACTATAGTTCAATTATTCTCATCCACAATAAACCTTCGCACACCTACTGTCGGCGGGCTTCCCGAGCGTAAGATTTTTGCTGGTCAAATCACCATGTTTAGCCAACAGTAGATATACATATACACATATCTACACAAACAAAAACATATATTGATCTATGCATGTATAGATGAATACACATACTTACATAAATGCATGCATATACATATATATAATATATAATATGTAAATTCTATATATATATATATATATGTGTATATTACTATATATGTATATATCAATATATCATATATATATATATGTTTATATCCATTATGTACCCATGATATTGTCCCAATATATGTATGACCAACGAATCCAAGGCACAAGGTCACCGGGTGCGGCTTGGCCGCCGCCTCCGCCTCTGCGGGGCTCCAGCTAAAGCCCACGTGGGTTGTGTAAGTGTCCTGGCAGGGTATGACCGAGAACAATAAGGATATTATCAAGCATAATAGGCATTAAATTCACATAGCGCCAAATAGGGGTTGGAAATGGTTGGAAGATTCGTTTCCAAAAACAAATTGTTTATTTTCAGGGTCTATCTTAATTTACCAGAGGGTAATAGGTATGCAACGAAGAATAATAGGGATGTAACATTATATATATATAGCCAACCACAATAGGTATGAATGGGATGCCAATGTCAAGACAACACATGTCATCAATGGTCATTTCAGGACCCTAAAGTAGAGGTACTGTACAATACAAAGCCATAGAAACCACTGAAATTTAGCCCATAATAGGCCTGAAAAATATTGAAAAATGGTCGGTACCTCCAACTTAGGTAACTGAAATTGCTACGGCTGAATTTTGATGCCCAAATTGCCAAGTCATTGGAGGTAAAGCATCCAATTTTCATGGGGATACCTGAGGGAATATCTGAGGGTACCCTCTGGTAAACTAACATAGCTATAGAAAATGGGCATTTATAATGGATCTTCCCGTTAAAAATGGTGATTTTCCATAGTTATGTTAGTTTACCAGAGGGTAATCGGGATTCAGCTGACTCCACCACGAATTTCCATACGCTGTAAATGGGCGATTTGACAAAACAACTGAGGGCATACAACGGGATACAAGAGGATATAGCGGGATATAATAGGATGACAGTCCCCATGGTGGCCACTGAGCAATAACATCGATGCTTATCATGATTGACAGGCTCTTATACACGTGCTTGTTGCTGATAATACTTCATGGTTGATAAGCTCTGGTTAGTGGTTGTTGGCAGTTGGTAACCCATGAAAAAATAATGGTCACTAAGCCCTGATGGGTGGTTGCTGGTGGTTCATACGCCATCATGCACCGACAAAAGTCATGATATATCATGAGGACTAATAATTCCTGCTTATTCCTGATTAGTGAGCCCTATTATTATGCAATATACATATATATATATAGTGACGGACATATACTTAGAACATCATTTTTTCCAAAATTTCGGAACCTTTTCTTAGAACATCAAAACAACTACACTTAGAACATCAGAAATGTTCTAAGTACGCACTTAGAACATCAGAAAAACAGATACTTAGAACATCTCCTTTGATTTTTTGCATACTTAGAACATTAAACACACATATACTTAGAACATGTCCTGTTACTTTGGTAAATCTGCATATATACACACAAATACCTTGGTGAACACCATACTTAGAACACTTTCTCCCCTCACTGCTGCAGCATTCTATACCTTTTCTTCGGGAACAATATCCCAAGCAGTCTTCGCTGCAATGGGAAGGTCTCTAGTATATAATTTGTGGGTTTCCTACAGAGGGTAGTCAAAAAGCATAGGTTTCAATACTAAAATGAGCTAAAATGAATTATGTATAATTTTGAATATTTGTATCCCATTGGTTCCCCACTGGGATGTTCTAAGTATAGCTTGGAAATGTTCTAAGTATAGGTTTTGGGTATGTTCTAACGACTTAATACTTAGAACATCCCCGCTGTGACGATTTTCAGATTTTTTTCCAAATGATGTTCTAAGTATTTGTCCGTCGCTATATATATATTAATAAGTCCTAATTTCCTAATTGGCTAATATATCATGCACCAAAAAATTGTGTTTTTTTTTTTTTTCGCCAGGTCATGGTCACTTTCGTTCCCACAAGGTGGTGCCCAAGTTACTTAGCTAAGTTGCTTTATGACTCCAATAACTAGCATATATATATATATATATACAGATATGCATATAGATAGATAGGTTAGATTAGATTAGATTAGGTTAGATTAGATAAGATAGAAATATAGATAGATAGATAGATAGATAGATATATAGATAGATAGATAGATAGATAGATCGATAGATAGATAGATGGAAAGATAGTCAGATAGATAGATAGAAAAATAGATAAGATAAGATAAAATAAGAAAAACAAGGATAAGATACAGTAAGATAAAATAGATAATTAGATAGTTCTATATTTACAAATAGTTGGTTTATAACTTATCTATGTGTTAGTGTTATCTATTGATTCCATATAGAACCACTATAGCAGCGGGCGCCTGATGCCAAGGGATGAGATTCGTCGATCCCGGCCTGCGAGGACGCCAACGACATATATATATATATACCCATAGGCTCCATGTATGGAATATTTACCAGCATTCTATAACTAGGTCTTGTGATGGCACAAATATAAATATATATATGGTTGGTGGTTTTAACCAACTTTTGAAAAATATGAAAGTCAATGGGAAGGATTATACCATATATTATGGAAAATAAAAAATGTCCCAAACCACCAACCAGATATAAGTACGTATCCACACAAATTTGCAAGCGTCGAAATCATTTCATCCAAAAACAATCAAAGAACAAAAAAACGAGAAAAGTTAGACACATCCAAAAGTCCTCAGAACGTCAATTGACATAATTACACATCCGAAAACCTCCGAAGTCCTGCCAAACTGTCAAATCAAATCAAATAAACAACAATCAACACCTAACAAAAACACCTAACAAAAACACAATCAAAACACATGTCATCCTCGGAAAGGTCAATGCCTTTTTCACCCCCGACATTCCGACCCTATCCGTCCATCGCCTCTTTTCGAAGAGCTCCAAGCGCATGGCCACCAATGGCAAGCCGCAGAGCTCCACCAAGAAGTCCAGAAGCCTCGCACGATTCGTGAAGCGATGTGCTTCCGTTGTGGCACAAGAGCTGATGGTGGGTGAGCCGACCCCATTAAAATATGTGCTACGGATTAGTTATATATAGGTATGATATAGATATAGACATAGATACAGATACAAATATAGATATATGTGTGTGTGATGGTTCACATGTTCATTGGGTAATGAATATATATATATACATATACATATCATTGATTAAAAAAAACATGGGTGATGATTTGTGATGATAGAAATTGAAGCAACTATTTCGCTGGAATCATCATGAATCATCATCCCAGAGGGGGGACAGAAATACCCGCTATGAGGAAACGCAGGGATACCGGGATGCTGGCCACTCCTTTCATGGCAGGTCATTGCCTCCTTGGTCAACACAAAACCAAGGTTATGGGAATATGTCTTTTATATAATTCTAGATTCAAGTGCCATATAGATTCATGTTTTCATTCCAAGGTTTAATGTCCCAAGAAGGTTTCCCATGTCGAAGACCACACCGGCCAACCCCAACACGATCCGGCCACCTTTCATCTTGAAGCACGCGCAGGAAGGGTTCGGCAGAAGGGCAGGCCCAGTTGACACCCAAATCCACCTCCAGCGTCACTTTTTTTGGACAGCTGAGTTGCTGGAAAATGATGGCAGGATTCATGATTTAGAGTATGAATCATTATATTATATATATATAGTGTATAAACTATATATATATATATAAATACATATGTGATAGAGAGATATATGTCCATGATGTTTCAAAATGTTTCAAATACATACTCTGATTCAAACCAGGCTTCTTCAAAATCACGTAACATGAATATTTGATAATATTTCGCTATTTAGCTACATTACCAACGTGATGATTGCCAGTCTAGACGTCCTTTATTCTTTGCAATTTACCGAGTGATCACCGATGCCCCATGTTTCACCATCCGAGACCACACCTCCACATTATCAGCCAGGAGTTCACGTAGCCCTCGGGTACGGCGCTGCATTTGTAACAGAAAAACCGCCCAACATAGGATGGTACCTCGATTTTTTAATGTTATGTTCAAATAAATTGGTAAATGAATGAAGAAACATACAGTCCATGATACGAGTAACTCTCGGAAAAGAGCCATTCCTCAAGACAGGGGCAGCAATTTTCTTATAAAAGAATGTAATCGTTTAAATTCAAGAAGCCTGTGGTGCATTAACATGTCTTATCATCCTTTTGAAATTCATGGGCAACAAATGTTTCCAGGCGAGCACCGGAAGGCCCAACTTGTAACGTTGGTTGATACGCCTATCTAATTATAGACTATATTATAGATTTAGTATCGGTATATATATATATCGATATGGATCGATATGGTATATCTAATATCTACACGACATAAATCCCTCTAATATCCGCATGTATACATCCCTAATTGTAATCATGAATTGTGAACCAACTTACTGTACACATCGTTTCGTGGCTCTTTTTCTGTATTCGTTTGCAGTGGGTACCCATCCTAAAGCGAACCAAGCTGCGCGTATCGAAGGAGCTTCGCAGCTCCTCCAAGTGCTGCGGCCTGCGAAGCCAAGATGGGGTAGTTAGGAGTAGTCTTTGGAAATCCGAACAGATATGGTTTTTACATCCCAAATGCGATTTTCACCAACAGAAATACCAGAAATGGGATGTTCATGGGACTTTTTAATCAACCAAAATGGAGATTTAACCAGCAGAATAGGATTTACCCTAGAGTAAACATACAGAAAAATGTGGAAGGCCCTATGGTTTCCTTAGGAAAATCATCTGGAAATGCTAGGTTTTCCACATCTTAGTTTACAGGAGGGTATAGTCGTTGATTTGCCCAGCTTTCAACCCCCATTTATATCCATTTTATAGATCACTGGGGGATGTATCCGTACAGTGACTACTTGTAAGTTTACAGGAGGGTATAGTCGTTGATTTGCCCAGCTTTCAACCCCCATTTATCCGCCGACCCCGGCAGACGCAAGGGGGAGCGCGCCAGGGAATAAGACATTTGACTCTTGTCGGACTACTACTACTACTACTACCACTACTACTACTACTACTACTACTACTACTACTAGGACTACGAGTACGACTACGGCTACGACTACGAGTTTCGAAAAAGATGTCTGGCTGTTGGTTTCTCGCCTTGGAGGCTGTTGTTTCGCAACCGCTCGCTAGGAGTTTGTTGTGGAGCCGTTGCCCGCAGGCCGTCCTTCAGGGCCACTGTGTTTCCCTGTCCGGCAGCGTGCGTTTTCAGCTTCGGGAGGAAGAGCAGCAGCAGCAACAGGAGCAGCAGGAGGGTTCTATGTCTCACTATGTCTCATTGTACAAACAGCGGTACAAAAAATGGTCGAAAACTATTGTTTTTCTAGGGTCTCAGAAGGGACGTTAGGCAGTTTTTGGGCTCGATTTTGGCGCTGTTCCGTCCTTCAGGGCCACTGTGTTTCCCTGTCCGGCAGCGTGCGTTTTCAGCTTCGGGAGGAAGAGCAGCAGCAGCAACAGGAGCAGCAGGAGGGTTCTATGTCTCACTATGTCTCATTGTACAAACAGCGGTACAAAAACTGGTCGAAAACTATTGTTTTTCGGCAGGGTGCGTTTTCAGCTTCGGGAGGAAGAGCAGCAGCAGCAACAGGAGCAGCAGGAGGGTTCTATGTCTCACTATGTCTCATTGTGCAAACAGCGGTACAAAAAATGGTCGAAAACTATTGTTTTTCTAGGGTTTCAGAAGGGACGTTAGGCAGTTTTTGGGTTCGATTTTGGCGCTGTTCCGTCCTTCAGGGCCACTGTGTTTCCCTGTCCGGCAGCGTGCGTTTTCAGCTTCGGGAGGAAGAGCAGCAGCAGCAACAGGAGCAGCAGGAGGGTTCTATGTCTCACTATGTCTCATTGTACAAACAGCGGTACAAAAAATGTCGAAAACTATTGTTTTTCTAGGGTTTCAGAAGGGACGTTAGGCAGTTTTTGGGCTCGATTTTGGCGCCGTTCCGTCCGTCAGGGCCACTGTGTTTCCCTGTCTGGCAGCGTGCTTTTTCAGCTTCGGGAGGAAGAGCAGCAGCAGCAACAGGAGCAGCAGGAGGGTTCTATGTCTCACTATCTCTCATTGTACAAACAGCGGTACAAAAAATGGTCGAAAACTATTGTTTTTCTAGGGTTTCAGAAGGGACGTTAGGCAGTTTTTGGGCTCGATTTTGGCGCCGTTCCGTCCTTCAGGGCCACTGTGTTTCCCTGTCCGGCAGCGTGCGTTTTCAGCTTCGGGAGGAAGAGCAGCAACAGGAGCAGCAGGAGGGTTCTATGTCTCACTATGTCTCATTGCACAAACAGCGGTACAAAAACTGGTCGAAAACTATTGTTTTTCTAAGGTTTCAGAAGGGACGTTAGGCAGTTTTTGGGCTCGATTTTGGCGCCGTTCCGTCCTTCAGGGCCACTGTGTTTCCCTGTCCGGCAGCGTGCGTTCTCAGCTTCGGGAGGAAGAGCAGCAGCAGCAACAGGAGCAGCAGGAGGGTTCTATGTCTCACTATGTCTCATTGTACAAACAGCTTTCAGAAGGGACGTTAGGCAGTTTTTGGGCTCCATTTTGGCGCTGTTCCGTCCTTCAGGGCCACTGTGTTTCCCTGTCCGGCAGCGTGCGTTTTCAGCTTCGGGAGGAAGAGCAGCAGCAGCAACAGGAGCAGCAGGAGAGTTCTCTGTCTCACTATATCTCATTGTACAAACAGCGGTACAAAAAATGGTCGAAAACTATTGTTTTTCTAGGGTTTCAGAAGGGACGTTAGGCAGTTTTTGGGTTCGATTTTGGCGCTGTTCCGTCCTTCAGGGCCACTGTGTTTCCCTGTCCGGCAGCGTCCGTTCTCAGCTTCGGGAGGAAGAGCAGCAGCAGCAACAGGAGCAGCAGGAGGGTTCTATGTCTCACTATGTCTCATTGTACAAACAGCGGTACAAAAAATGGTCGAAAACTATTGTTTTTCTAGGGTTTCAGAAGGGACGTTAGGCAGTTTTTGGGCTCGATTTTGGCGCTGTTCCGTCCTTCAGGGCCACTGTGTTTCCCTGTCCGGCAGCGTCCGTTCTCAGCTTCGGGAGGAAGAGCAGCAGCAGCAACAGGAGCAGCAGGAGGGTTCTATGTCTCACTATGTCTCATTGTGAAACAGCGGTACAAAAACTGGTCGAAAACTATTGTTTTTCTAGGGTTTCAGAAGGGACGTTAGGCAGTTTTTGGGCTCGATTTTGGCGCTGTTCCGTCCTTCAGGGCCACTGTGTTTCCCTGTCCGGCAGCGTCCGTTTTCAGCTTCGGGAGGAAGAGCAGCAGCAGCAACAGGAGCAGCAGGAGGGTTCTATGTCTCACTATGTCTCATTGTACAAACAGCGGTACCAAAAATTGTCGAAAACTATTGTTTTCCTAGGGTTTCAGAAGGGACGTTAGGCAGTTTTTGGGCTCGCTTTTGGCGCCGTTCCGTCCTTCAGGGCCACTGTGTTTCCCTGTCCGGCAGCGTGCGTTTTCAGCTTCGGGAGGAAGAGCAGCAGCAGCAACAGGAGCAGCAGGAGGGTTCTATGTCTCACTATGTCTCATTGTACAAACAGCGGTACAAAAACTGGTCGAAAACTATATACTGTTTTTCTAGGGTTTCAGAAGGGACGTTAGGCAGTTTTTGGGCTCGATTTTAGCGCTGTTCCGTCCTTCAGGGCCACTGTGTTTCCCTGTCCGGCAGGGTGCGTTTTCAGCTTCGAGAGGAAGAGCAGCAGCAGCAACAGGAGCAGCAGGAGGGTTCTATGTCTCACTATGTCTCATTGTACAAACAGCGGTACAAAAAATTGTCGAAAACTATATTGTTTTTCTAAGGTTTCAGAAGGGACGTTAGGCAGTTTTTGGGCTCGATTTTGGCGCCGTTCCGTCCTTCAGGGCCACTGTGTTTCCCTGTCCGGCAGCGTGCGTTTTCAGCTTCGGGAGGAAGAGCAGCAGCAGCAACAGAAGCAGCAGGAGGGTTCTAAGGTCTATGTCTCACTATGTCTCACTATGTCTCACTATGTCTCATTGTACAAACAGCGGTACAAAAACTGGTCGAAAACTATTGTTTTTCTAGGGTTTCAGAAGGGACGTTAGGCGGTTTTGGGGCTCGATTTTGGCGCCGTTCCGTCCCTCAGGGCCACTGTGTTTCCCTGTCCGGCAGCGTGTGTTTTCAGCTTCGGGAGGAAGAGCAGCAGCAGCAACAGGAGCAGCAGGAGGGTTCTATGTCTCACTATGTCTCATTGTACAAACAGCGGTACAAAAAATGGTCGAAAACTATTGTTTTTCAAGGGTTTCAGAAGGGACGTTAGGCAGTTTTTGGGCTCGATTTTGGCGGGGGCCACTGTGTTTCCCTGTCCGGCAGCGTGCTTTTTCAGCTTCGGGAGGAAGAGCAGCAGCAGCAACAGGAGCAGCAGGAGGGTTCTATGTCTCACTATGTCTCATTGTGCAAACAGCGGTACAAAAACTGGTCGAAAACTATTGTTTTTCTAGGGTTTCAGAAGGGACGTTAGGCAGTTTTTGGGCTCGATTTTGGCGCTGTTCCGTCCTTCAGGGCCACTGTGTTTCCCTGTCCGGCAGCGTCCGTTCTCAGCTTCGGGGGGAAGAGCAGCAGCAGCAACAGGAGCAGCAGGAGGGTTCTATGTCTCACTATGTCTCATTGTGCAAACAGCGGTATAAAAACTGGTCGAAAACTATTGTTTTTCTAGGGTTTCAGAAGGGACGTTAGGCAGTTTTTGGGCTCGATTTTGGCGCTGTTCCGTCCTTCAGGGCCACTGTGTTTCCCTGTCCGGCAGCGTGCGTTTTCAGCTTCGGGAGGGAGAGCAGCAGCAGCAACAGGAGCAGCAGGAGGGTTCTATGTCTCACTATGTCTAATTGTACAAACAGCGGTACAAAAAATGGTCGAAAACTATTGGATTGTAGTCATATATCGTAACCTAATACATATACAGCGATATATGCTGCCAGGCTGGAACCAAGAAGGATGCAGCCCGCCCTCACCATTTGGGAATGTGGATAGATATGGATCGATATGGAGGATATGGTACAATGTGAGTCAGCCTGGAACAAAAAGACAGAGACATAGACAGATGCACACTGACAATGAAACACACACACATATATATATGAATATATATATATAATATGAATATATATATATAATATATGAATATATATATATATATGAATATATATATATATGAATATATATATATATGAATATATATATATATATATCTATTAAATATACACAGATCTATGATTCTATCTATCCATCTACCTACCTACCATTACCTGCCACTACCTGCCTATCTATCAAACTATCTAGCTATCTATCTATCTATCTAACTATCTATCTATCTATCTATCAATCTATCTATCTATCTATCGACCTATCTATCGATCGATCTATCTATCTATCTATCTCCATCTATCTATCGATCGATCGATCTATCTCTATCTATCCATCTATCGAATCTAGCAAGCCTGCAGACCATCTATCTATCTATCTATCTATCTATCTAACATCCTCGATGTCGAATGCCGATGTTTACCTGCACATTAAAAATGACAATGTCGACCCTAGCCGTTCCATGGCTTTTTGTGACCTGGTGTTGTCAGCCCCTGAAAATTTCAGTCATTTGAGATCCCAAATGAAAAATCCTCAAGCACAAGCCTGACTGTCCAGCAACACTATGTCAGAATGCAACATAAACAAACATTAAAAAAACATCCAAAATATATTGCCTCGCTCTGGTGAAATTTAACTATATATATATCTCTCTCTCTCTCTATCTCTCCTCTCGTATCATGGCTATGGAAAAGCCACCAACTTGAGCTGTGTGAAAACACAGCGCAAACCTCTTTTTTTTCTCCGGGGTCGGCGGCAGGGGCGGCAGCCCTTAAATAATATATTATTTTTGCATATGCTCTCATGTTGGTATATGGATATATGTTAGATACACAGTTCCTTACTAAGTCTGATTTGAACTAGTTTTCCCATAGCTATGACACAAATTCCTTGGCAAATAGGATGGTTGAATGTCATTTTTGTGACGAGCCAATGTGTGTCCATTGCTACCCGAATTTTGAGCCATAGCCAATTTTGAGAAGTCAACGCATCAACGAATTCCTCCCGTCTCATGGTTAACTCCCTATGTTCGATAAATAAATCATGCTAAATCCCCCATTTTTGGATGACATGTTTGGCTAAATCCCTAAGTTAGGATGGCTGCCTGGATGGCTAAATTGGCTAAATTCCAATTTTTTTGGCGGTTCCAAATGTTCCAAGTCCCAACTTTCCGGCCCCGGCTCGTCCTCGACGCCTCCGCGCGTTGATTCCACTTGGAGGCTTGCCCACCATCGGCCACGTGGGAGATCACTGGCACCCTGGCTGAAGCGCTGAAGCTTGGCACCATTTCGCGGAGAGAAAGTTTGCAAACAAGACGATAATTGATGTATGTTATTTGTATATACTGTATATAATGTATGTAATTATAGTTTTTTGAAGGAAAAAGACATGGCGTCCTCTAGAGTTTCCGATTGTTCCTTGCACCAGTCCCAATGGACCGCTGGCTTCATCGCCGGATCAGTTCATGTCCAAGTCGCAGTGAGTTGCTGGTATCGAACTCCAAGCCGAAACAATCCTCGAACGTGGGAAGAAAGGGACGAACAGCAGAAATCGGCAAATACCAGAAACCGCCCAGTCAACCATCCGCGCAAAAATATGGGCCAGGGCCAAAACTCATATCTGGAAGACAGGTACGTCAACATCGCAGACCTATCACTCAGATTTTGTGTTACCCCGCGATGTTCACTACGGTGGCATTTGATACCCCTCACCCAGATCACTACATATCGTCTGATCCCGACACGATCCAGGCACCGGTCATACAAATCGAAAATAAGGATGGCTCCCATGATCATGATGATGATGATGATGATGATGATGAGATTGCTTCATCAGAATTTACACCAAACTTTGCCTCACATCCCTCACGCTTCGGCTGAAGATGGTTGACGATCAGAGTGTCAAATTGTTCAATAAACAAGGCGGTGGCTGAAGGGATCAAAGATTTGGTTTCGTCTGAAGATAGGGTACCCCAAATTTGAAGGTTAGTCATCATTTTCCGTGTAAAAATGCACTTTCCGATCTTTCCGATATATCCCATTGTCACCTCCATTTGGTCTTGATTTCACGTATATAGTCAGTTTGACCCCTGAGGAAGCGACTGTCTGCATCTTCCACACCTGTCCAGGGCTGGAGGCTCAATCTATGACTCCTCATCACCCGCGGCAGAAACAGCAACGGCAACAGCAGCAGCAAAGCTCGATTGACATTCTAGATATTGTAATACTATCAGAATTCAATGGGCATAGATGCGAAAATCAAAGAAAGAATAACATATGTTTAGCTCTACTTATCCATATTTTAAGTGCATGGTCCAAATGTTGCACTTAAAATTATTTTCCGATTCTAAGAGCAAACTTACTTTTTGCTCTGAGGATCCATCTAAGAGAACCATATATGTGTTGAAATCGCATTCTAAGTGCTGGTCACCTACTCCATAATTGATAGATGTTGATAGATCGTAATGCGTCTCCTTCCTCGAACATTCAACCTGTCCTGCCCTGCCACTGCCGCTCTTTTCTTCGCATTCGTCACCGGTCACCATCCATCGTCGTCTGCCTGTCCCAGGTGGCAGGGCAAAGGGGTCCCAGGAAATAGGTGTGGCATAGAATGTACCATCGATTGGAGTCTGTAGATTGCTGGTGAAAATGAGCTGTTCCCCCCTCCGTTAACCAACAGGAAGGACATCAATGAGTGGTGCGTCAAGATATTGTTTACTTATTTGTAGTCATGCTGGAGTAGATAGAATGTGGAAATTTCAAAAAAAACTCACTAAATTGGGAATATGTTTCGAAACACTATCCATATTCTATCTACTCCAGCATGATGATATCCCAATAACGATTTGAGAGGGCATTGAGCGTGCCATGTGTTCTGGGACATCTAAGTTTGGATGGGAGGTTCACCGTGTCTCAACTTGAACCGGGATTGCCACGTCCACAATCACTGATGTGGTTTGTACTGGCGACACTTCACCACCACCTGAACTTATATTGCTTATTCTGCTTGTGATCTCTTCCACATTTGCGCTGAAAAGATTGAACTCCTGGATTGTGGAAACTTGTTGTCCGCCACCCATCTTCGACAGGCGAATGTTGATCTTATCAAAACAAGACTGTGAAAAGAAACGAGATAGATTGATGGAGCAAACTGCACGGCTGGGGGCACAAACTAGTTGACGCCAACGGGGCCTCACATGGATCCCCAGTGCGCTGCAAATTCTGCCAACGTCGACGCATTTCCTCCTGCCACAGTGGGGTGATGGGTACCAATAGCCAAAAAAAGGGAGTGGGCCTACAAAGTCTGCAATTGTTTGAACTAAACCAACCTTTTTGGGTCTGGCCACAGTCAACTTTGGATGTTCCACCTATCATGAGCATTTGCAGTAGAGTCCATTACCACCAGGCGGACATGGTCCTCGGAGACGTAATGATCCAGAACCATGGACTGCGTCGGCCTTCCTTGGGGCAGGAGCAAAAATCTCATTGTCCAGACATGGAACCAGCATGAAACGGCAAATTCAATGCACATCAACCTCTCAAAGTTGTCTTTTCATGTCTTTTCCAGCGGTTTCTTCCGTTGCTCTACTTTCGTTGACCAACTCTGGCCTTTCACATGTTCATGAAATTTCTGTCCACGGGCAGGAGAAATCAGGAGAAATCAGGAGAAATCAGGAGAAATCAGGAGTCAATCTCAAGAAGGAAAAGGAGACTTGTGTATCATTGTGTATCTACTTTAGGAGCAAACAAAAGCCCGTTGTTCCCTGCAACCTGTAGGCACGGCAGGCACGGCAGCAGGACAGTCATTTCCAATCCCCAAGATCCCAAGCATGCCTGCGGTCGGCCTCCCCTAGGTGTAAGTTTGCTGAGCTTTTCACCCAACTGGGGTGCGCCTGAAAATGGTGGTATACCGTATACCCCCTAATTATGTCTATTTGAATAGTGAAAATGATGATCAACCTGTGGATTTTGGGTGTACCATATTCTCAAAACCCAACCGGGTTGCTAGACCTTTTCAACCCATCGGCCCATCGGCTATGAAGCAACTTACCCATGGTTTGGAGGTCAAAGAGGTAGACCTTGTTTGGTTACCGGGCGTCTGCAAGCATCGCCCATGATGGACAGCGGCATGCTGATGTGCTCATGCTCTACCGCCTGAAACTGGGGTGAAACTGGCCGCAAACGGACTTGAAGGCTTGAAGTAAATGTCATCTCTTAAAATGAGCCATACCCCCAACATCTCCATTGAATCCATAAGGATAAGTATGATTCACCCTCAAATTTGGAGTACCCTATTTTCAGACAAATCCGAATGAACACAAAAGAAAAAAATATGCCTTTCTCACAGTGTACTCCTGGTTTGACGCTTCGAAAAAGCAAGGCTCATGGCTCACTGGAGCGGTTTTTTGAGATTAATAACTGGATAGGCCAAAGGTGGGAGGCATCCCTATCCAGTTCCTCACAACATGCCACTGGTGGTCGCAGAAGGGAGCCTCCAGCCAGAAGCCGACCTCAGACGAGGACCAGCTGGTCTTATTGAGTGGCTGGAATTTTGACCCCACAAACTGCTGAAATCGAACATAGAACCAACAATCGCTATGTCCAACTAGTTGTGACTCCCAACCTTTTTGCTTCCATTGGGGAAATTTTTAGAAAGTCATCCAATTTTATACAGCAACGACGATTCTCCATCCCATCCTTTCGAAACAAGCCACAGAGACGTCTTCTTGTGGCAAGTCTTGCAAGGACGGAAGCGATGCCTAACTGACCATCGACACCCAGAAACGGTGACACAGCTGAAAGGTAGCCAGGTAGATACACATCTGGTCCAAAGAATGTGGCTTTCTCCGCATTTTCTCATGCGGTCATAAGAGTCATAAGCAGAACAGTAGTGCTTAGCCAAAAAAAGGGCTATGACTAATCCCCCAAATAATCATAGCCCTTATGGTTGCCATTTATAATCATTTATAATTTATAATCCCCAAAATGGTAAGTGTTTGGGGGGAATCTGTGCCAGGTCCCGGCCTCCGAGCTGCTATCGGACTCAACCCCATCCTGAGAGAAGCAATCCGGATATGACTCGCAGTTGGGGTACCCTCTGGTAATTTAACATAGCTATGGAAAATCACCATTTTTAATGGGAAAATCCACTATTTCAATGGTCATTTTCAATAGCAAACCGTTAAATTACCAGAGGGTATCAACGGAGCCACATCTTCGGAGGTCCTGGAGCAAAAAACGGTGCTTTTTGCCATCCCTTTCCCCAGCCTCCGCTAAGAGACTGATATAGTTACCTCAGACTCTGGTGCTGATCTTTGGAGCTGGTACCAGGATTGAAATCGGATGGGCTACAAGACCCAAACAATTTAGGAGAAGCGATGAAAAAACGGCAAAAGTAGGATAAATAAAAATCACACTTGGGAAGAGATCCACAAAACAACACACGGGGTGGTCAGATTGTGGGTTGCAAGGTCTGGAATTTTGACCGCTGCCCACGTCTCGGCCTGAATCAGTGTCCTTTCATGAGATGCCCAGGTCAGAAAAACACAACAAGTCAAGGTCCCAAAAATTCACTAAAATGCGATGCTGTGCTGCCGCAACCACTCATGTTGGACTTTGGAATTGCCACTGAGTCGCATAAGTTGCGGGTCAGGAGATATCCACAGCCAGGGCTATAGACTGGATAGGTCTCTTGCCCGGTCAACTCGGTGAAAACCTGGCCACCAAGGCGGAATCCTGCAATTTTCTCCGCTCTTCTGTTGAATCCTTTAACAAAGTTCCACTATATAACAGGGAACATAATTCATCATCAACTTGACTTCCTGGAAGATCCATGTTTCTTGTTGGGCAATGAAACGCTGCTAAGGAGCACCATCCGGATTCCGACCAGCCCCTTGTGGTCGCCCCTTTCGTCGGACTTCTCCCGCTTGGGCGCTGCGCCTGTGATGTGATACGATGTTGGATACACATGGATAATATGGATCAGTGACATCAGTGGATAACAATCCATGACTAGAATCCATGACTATCCGAGTTTGTTGGATACAGATATTGATGACATTGATTACACATAATGATGTCCATCAGTCCATCAGCACCTGGGGTCAAAGAGCTGATGATCTTCCGCGAATTGAAGCAATCGATCCAGGAAGATCCAAGAATCTGTGTCCTCATCGTGTCCAACTGCGCCAGATGCATCTCACTTTGGGGGAAGAAATCACACTTCAAAAGAAGTTGGAAAAGATAGTTCCGAGGACAGAATCATAAAGGGTTGGGAAAAAGTTGCATTCTTTTGAACTGTTGAAACCTGAAAAAATGCAAATGATATGTATAAGGTTATAAGGCTGTAGCTTTTAAAAAAGATGCGAGCTGATTTTGCTGTTCAAGGGTCCAAAGCAAACCGATGCTATCAATGTCAAGAGTCAGCTTTCAGCAGGAGGTTGAAGCTGTAATGCTGAACAGCCTCGGCTTGGATGTTGGAAAAACTCCAATGCTGGAGAATACCCAAAGGAACTTAAAAAACGACTGGTGACCCAATCAGCATCCTTATTTCGTGGTCATTGGCTCTTGAAGTGATCTAAATCGGACTAAATCATCATACAAGTCTCACACCCGAAGTTACCAGATGGTCACTGCCAAGAAGCATAGTGAATGCTTCTTTTCACCTTCTGTGCCAGGCGTTCATACGCACTGCTGCACCTACGATGGAGAAGGTCACAGTCAAAACCGTAAACCATCCCCACGGGTTTTCCAGACTTGGGTGCCCACTTTCTCCAGACTTGGCTGACTTATGGTGGATTACTATATATATATATACAGTAACCATTTCCCAATCGGAGCTTTACTACGTTTACTGGGTTTACAACCTCGATCAACCACAGGCCAGATCGCCGAGGCCGTCATGGAAACGATGACATGTGCGAGACGTGCGCTTAAAAGGTAGGGGTGGCCAGTTCAGTTTCAACCAGGCCCACCTTGGCAGCACCACCACATCTTCAATTGGATCTTCCTGGTTGCCAAGTCCGGCCAAAAAGACTTGGGATGAAGTTGATGGATCTGGCGAAAAACCCTGCCTTGTTTAAAACTTACTATTTTGCCTCCTGATATATTTGTAGATGTGCATACATATATATATATACAATTATATACATTATAATTATACAATTATATATAATTCATTTTGCATGTATACTGTATACAGTATATACTCTAGCTGTGTGTCTGTGCCATTCCCCAGGAAACATCTCACCTAAAGTGTCTTTTTCAAAAAGAACTCCATCCCCATCTCCCAGCTCTTCCAACCTCTGTTGCTTCATCTCCCAGCATAAAGAGATACTTCACCGTGCGATTGCTGTTGCACCTGGCGCATCTCCCAGCTTTCTCGGGGGGAAACCCGGAAACCCCCAGGCCCGGAGCCCTGGTTTCGCCTGCGGCACAGGTGGTTCTCGCCGATGTCTTGGGTCCAGGTCTTGCGGATCGACCGCATTCGGCCTTGATCTCGCTGCCCGCTGGCAGGGATCAGCACCAAGAGGTCGAAATGCCTCAGTGGTAACGAGAATTCCGTGGACCCAAGACATTCACAGGAATGTGCACTTCTATCGATATGTGTGTGTGTGCATCTATCTATCTATGTATCTAATCTAATCTAATCTAATTTAATCTAATCTAATCTAATCTATCTATATATATATATTATATATATATACATATCATTATATATATATATTTATTTATTTATTTAACATGTCATATAACATGTCTGTATGATATTGTGTGATGTCTATTACATACAGAGGCACAAGGTTTCCGTGAAATGCAACATTATTCTTGTGCGCGCGGCTGCTATAGACAGCATCGCAGTTGTATCTGTTCTTCACCATCAAGTTGCTCCCGCTTGTCTTGCACTGATGGGTCAACGGCCTCTTTTCCTTAGAGCAGTGGAGCTGCTGTTTCCAGTGATGCATTTGCGTTTGAGTACCTTACACTTCTGACTATTGATGGCCACCGTGTGTTCTGAAATTTCAAGTGCCCTGGAAATAAGGACTCAGCAAAAGTTATATAATATAAGCAAATCAAATCAACTCGACGAATTGCTAGGGAGCAAAATACTAGGGACCAAGTCAATTTGGTTCAAGCGTGTCGCAGAGCCACTTAGCTGATCTCTGTTCCATGATGCATGATGCATTCCTTTTTTGATGGGGTACCTCAATCCATGAAATGGCTTGTATTGACCATGGCAAGGATTCTTCAGGCTTTTCCAATCATAACAACTACCAGATCTTTTTTCAAATCTGCATCCATTTCCCCACGCCCAAGTTGCGAATGAGCTGTGACGCTCGACCCCCAGCAGCATGCTGCCTGAATTGAAGTTCCATGTTCACCAGCTGATTCCCACGGATTCCCGCCCAAATTTCCCAGATTTCCCCACGGCTTCCCATGATTGGATCACTAAACCAGGGCTGGCGGGCTGGCTATTTCATATGGATGGGATTACACAGCTTTGTCTGATAGGTTTCCCAGTGGACCAAACCATCCCCAGTTCTTGGCCCAAGTCATGATTGTCTCTTAGACCACATATAAGATATACAGGATATTACAGGATGGGATTTCCAAACGATACCGCACCTGACATGTTGCACTGCTCCAGTGCTGTCTATCGAAACCTGGCGAGCGAAATAAGGCCCAGGTGAGATTGGGATGAAATTCTACAGCGGCTTTGGGGGACGACCAAAATTGGGGTATCAAAAAAAACATATTGCACTCAAAATTGGTGCCATTTTGGACGGTTTGATCATGTAGTATCCTTTTTTTGGTAGTTTTTATGTGTGTGTCATCGGATTTAGCTGATGATATGTTCCAATTTCAAGTGTCAAACCATCCAAGTGGATGCGTCAACAATTTTAAGCCAGAGCCTTCTCTGGCCGAACCCACAAGCGGGCCTCATGATGTTTTCCACTTGTCACCGCAGCGTCTAACAGTGTCAAGCTTGATGCAAGAAAGGTCCCAAGCCTGAAAAACCTCGGCAGCGAATTTGGAGGTTTGTGCTGGAAGAAAAGATCAAAGGGTTGACCATCCTCGGGTTGGAACGTTATCCATCTGGATGGGCCCAAAAAGGGAAAACTCCGCATCCATCATTTGGTGTTCACCACTTCATTTGCATTTGAAGAATGGCACATGCATCTGCAAACATGGCTCCTGACATCAACCCGTATGGGGTCCCCACGACCCATGGACCAGAAGGCCTGACTTAGGTGGCATGGCGCGGCACGGACATTCAGAGGTCTTCTGTTGATATAACTCATCCAATAGCAAAGCTCGGCAATGTGCACCTAACATCATCCAACACTGCAAAACTGTGCCGTAGATTGTTTCGGATAGGATTCTCTGACCTCCAAACCTGTGAGCCAGCTGCAGTTCAGCGAGACATCTTCAAGAGTTTCAACTTGAAATATAGTTTGCAATATGCCTCCAAAGGCAAATCCTCAGTTTTGGGGGCCTGGAGATGCTGCCTCGGCATTTCTAGGGGACACTAATCTGTTGCTGAGCAGAACCAATGGATTTTTTGTTTCCCGATTTCAAGGACATGCCCACAACTTCTGGAAAGGCATAAGTTTCATGGTTTAAGTGTCTAATCCATCATAGAAAGTGGCGCATTCATTTGCATCATTTGGATGCGTTGGGTAGCCACAAATTCACAATTCACTCTGCCAAAAATGTGTGGCGATGTATCACATTCCATCTTGGGAATCCAGTTTACTCTTGGTTTTCAGCCTCACTTTTTGTGAGTCTCAAAAAACACCCAAATCATCATTGTAAAATCTTGGCCAATCAGCATCCAAAGTCTCCAAAAGTTGAAAGACATCATTTTCAATCATTTTCCACATCTCCAAACGGCTCATTGCCTCGATCTCGAAGTTGTAGTGCTCACGGTCTTCCACCTGGACTGCGTTCGCCCACGGATTTTCGGGATGTCTTTCTGCGGGACCAAGTTGTAGAGGGCAAAACCTACCAAAACCATAAGCAGATAGAATACAGTGAATAAAGTTCAGTGCATATGCTAGCTGCTAGGTATATCACCCGGCGCCTCATGGAAGATGCTTTCCTGGCGCAGTGCGAATGACCACCATGCCATGTTTTGCCCATGGCACATATTGCCGAGACTTACCTCTGAAGCAGAAACATTATGTGGCAAAGACCTGGACATCGAGCACCTTCAACTGTGGGTCCTCAGCATGGCTGTTGTGTGGGCCTGGTCACTGCAGAGACGGTGGCGCAAACCGGTTCTTCCTTGCTTTTCACACATGAAGGTACCTGCAGGTTGGTTTCCCACGTCGGAGGCATTGGCAAACCTTGGAAGTGGAATCTTCGCAATTCGCCACAAGGTGGGAGTCAGAGGCAAAGTGCGAAGTCTGCAACTGCTCCGTCAAAGTCGCCTGGATGGGCCCGAGGTCGTAGGATTCGATTGGCTCGGAGATGTCGGAGCACTCTTCACCACTTGCGCTGGTGTACCAGATTTTATTCGCAAGGCAGTGGTAGATCCCACAAAACAAGCGGTGCCGTTGAAGGTGCAGGTGCTACCTTGTCACCGACTTGCTCCGGGGGGGGCTGCAACTGCTGGGGCCAATCTTCTTGTCTCCGCAAGGCGACTTCTCGCCCTTGCTCCTGCATTGGCGCTGTCAAAGGCAAGGATTCCACGTCATTCATGAGATGCAAGGTTGCTCTGAATCTTCTGAGGGACTCTGTCCTAACGTCCCAGTCGCTGACGATTTTGAACTTGAACCGTCCGAAGGAACAGGACGATAACGCGCAGGATCAGCCCTCATCAGACTCGTCGTAGAGCAGGTTTGGATGACCAACCCGTTGGTAAAACTATGCCCCACTTATTCTCACAATATCGCGACGTTTCTCATTTGGAAGACTGACCTATGCTGCTCTTTCAAGTGTACCTTTTACGGGCACTTAGGAATTTATGCAACATAAATTAAATGCTTCAGGAAAGTCTTGATGATAAACCATGATAAACCATCATAAACCATCATAAACCATCATAAACCATCATAAACCATCATAAACCATCAATGATAAACCCCCATTCTCAAATGTATCCAGGTTAGGTTTCACCATCTACCCATTTTATCCATGTCACTCTTCAGTCCTTCCTCCCAAGCCCGACCTCTTGGCGGACTCCCACTGCGAAGGTCGATAGATCCGTCTCTTGTGCACACTCGTCCACCTGGCGACGCTGGCGACCACGGGGAAGGTTCCCATCACGAAAAAACCATCTGGGGGGAAATATATAAGTTACATATAAGTTACATATAAGTTACATATAAGATAAGTCGCTCATGTTTAGTCACTTTAGTCTTACACCATCCACTTTGGGACTTTGCAAGGTCAATAGTTCCTGTATGGTCTCAAACCATCTAGAGTCGTCGGGTGGGACATACAGTACCCCAGCGCGATTTCAAGCGAGAGGTGGCTTGAGCAGCATCTGGATCATATAAACAAAAACTTAAATGGAGAGCAATCAATCCAAAAAAACTGCTGTGCCCACTTCCTGCAACACCAGTTTCCTCTGCTGTTCCCAGACAAGTAAATCAAAACAATTGAAAACAAAACATCTCCTGCCGCCACGTCACCGGCTCCTCCTGCCCGCAGCAACAGGACCTTGGGTCAGGGCAGTTGCATTGGTTGAATTGTCTTAGTTCAAATGGAATCGTCTTAGGTATAGTGGTTAAAATGAAGTCAAATTACATCAAATTACTATACGTTCTTATGATTCTTATGGTTCTTATTGTTGTCATGGTTCTCATGACGAAAAACACATATGCTTCACTGGTCTCATACCGGTTGTGACCGGCACCATCAACCTGAACAATGAGGGAATCTCCCAAGATCACCCCAGAATGACCATCTTCGTCACTTGGTAAAAATCCCAACGATGTCTCATGATATCCCGAACGAGTTTGAACTCACTCCCAATACCGGGCCGGATTTGTTTCTTATCTAGATTCCCAACTTCGGGCCACACATCTTCAGCAATTTGTTTTGCAAAGTGGCATCTGCAGGCATCTGCAGGAGCGAGAACATCTTGGGCCCAAACATCTGGCACCGCCGTTAGCTTCTGCATCCCCCACACCCCTCGCCAGAGTGGCCAAACCACCACATCTGCAATTCTAATCCAAGACTCCAAATGTGATGGGTCCACGATTTGGGAAGCGCTTTGAACCAACTCCTTCAACCCTGAAAGTTGCCCGGAATCCACAGAGAGACCCAGTTAAAAAGTGGACACTAAAGGAGAAATGTCAAGCGAGTAGCGAATGGTATTGGTGTTGCACAAAGTCTGAACCTTGTCTACTGTAACTTTGTTCATATATATATATATGTATATATATATATATAATGTATATATATATATATAAAATCTCAAGCGGCTTCCTTTTCCATTGCTGATGGGCACTGCGTGCGTGGACTGTACACAAGCTTGATCTCCAAAGTTCTCTGAAGAAGAGGGTGGGCACTTCATAGGGTAGGGTTACTTGAGCAGCAACGGACATCCAATCGCAGTCGATTTTAGAAGTTCAAAATCTCAAGCGGCTTCCTTTTCCATTGCTGATGGGCACTGCGTGCGTGGACTGTACACAAGCTTGATCTCCAAAGTTCTCTGAAGATGGAGTTCCAAGTTGATCCCGTCCGTCCCCTCATGTCCGTGTAACTTGCGCCCGCCATAAGAGATACCATACATTGTATGGAATATTTGATTCCCAAAATTGTTCAGCACCTTGTAAAGCCAGTGGGAAGAAATTACACAGACTAAAGATTTTCAGCTGAGCGTTTGAGGGAACTGCTGCCAGAAATTGAAAAGCCGAAATTTCCTGAATGTATATTTCCATCACACGGCTGTTGATCCACCTGCCTCTGCGGCGTAGAAATTCAGAATCCTCAGTAACCTGTAAAATCCACGTCGCACCACCAGGGCGAAGTGAGCCGAGATCAAGAGATTTTCCATTTAGGCGAACTGAGGGCCCCACACCTAACTCAGTCATCACCTGTCTGAAGCGAGTCCTCAGTGTTTGACCTGACTTTGGCCATAGTTTTTGATGAGGTAGAAGTCTGGAGAATGCTATATGTACTACCCGTAAGAGGTCGGGCACGTCTAACTTTGCACATTGGTGACGTGCAGCCGTAAACCTTGTTTTCGGTTCCCGCAGAGACAACAAGGCAAATTGATTGGTGTACCCCGTATCAACAGGTAGAAGAAGATCCCGTCTAATAGCACCTGTAAATTCTCCGACCCTTAACAAAGCACCAAAAGACAAAGCCAACATTCCAGCAAGGTCGATCCAACCCCATGTAAAGCAGAGCGAAATTGCGGCCAGCAAGATTTGCCACGGAAGTGCAATGTGGTGCACAGATGGCTCGTCTCTGACCCAGGCATAGGCAAGGTTCCATGCTTCCTGCAGTTGGCGCCTAACAATAGGCTTTCGAGCCGCCACAGCGTTTATAGTCTCAGCGTAATGGTTGTAAGGTCTTCCAATTGCATAGAGGACTCTGCCAAACTTCACCAGGAGTTCGTTAATCAGATCAATCGAAGTAACATGGTTTGCCAGCAAATGTCCCAAAAGGATTCCTTGCGAACCCAACCAGTCTTCAAACTGCTTAATGTAAAATTCGCGATGCTGATTAGTGACGCCTAAAACGGGACGACCTTCTTGTAATGGAGGCCTGGAACTTCTAAGCAACTGTCGATGCACATCGCCAGCGTTTCGCGGAATCAGTACCCCATGGCTACAATCTAAGACAGCGAAGAACACAAGAAGACCAAAACTAAGAGGTCCCCAGTTGCTGGCGAAGAAAGTGACAGGTCCCTCACCCGGATAACCCAAAGTCGAATCGAAATCGAGCTTCGCAAAACGATCCGAACCGACAACGGAGACAGAAGACGCCAAACCAAAAGGGAAGGGAGACCGACGGTAAACTGCCGGATTTGCAAAGGAAAGCACAGGAGGACCAAGCACCAGCAGTACAAGGCGAATCCAGTTTGAGGCCCACCTGCGGCATTTACAAACCTCGGCAAGTCCAAAGAGGTCACCACGATCCCAGGAGGCTATGTCAAGACCAGCAATGGGAGCTCTTAAGCTGCAATCACGAGTAGGATCATCAGCAGGATTAAGACGAGTAGGGACAAAACCTAAGACCAAATACACTCCACCAACTAGGCACAAAGCAGCCAGGCGGCTGAGGAGCTTGGTGAGTGCTCTGGATGATGAACGACCCTTCGAGGCAGCACAACGGACAACGTTTGAGTCAACCAAGACGACGACACGACAAGCCTTTCCCTTTCGGACCAGACGTTGCACAAGTCTCACAACAGCAGAAAGTTCCAAAAGGTTGATATGGGATGACACACGGAACTCCCACACCGATTCAAGTGACCAGGCTGATGAGAGGGCAACTTCATTTACCAACTGGCTTTCAAGACCCTTGTGCTCGCTGACTGAACAGGCTTCATCAAAAGTCTCCAAACGCTTAATGCCAATACACATGACATCTGCCAAGGCAACAGACAAGCGCTCAACGTAGGTTGCAGACCCTTTGGTAAACTGACCCTGCACGTGGATATGCTCATGTGAACCATCGCAACGGTCTGCAATTGGAGCAATGTCAGCCCAAGCACAAAGAAAAGCGAAAGACTTCAGATGGACTGAGCCATAAGCACATGAGTCACACCGCACAACCTGACAGTGTTCTGAATTGGCCAAAATCGACCAACCAGGCAAAAACTTGATCAACGAAGTCCAGGGATTTTCAAGAAGTGCTGTAATCCCATTTCTGATGCAAGCCCGCATGATCTGGAAAGCCCTGTATCCTAGCAAAGTGCCGATTGACGTTTGTGGATCTTCCGGATCAAAACCAAAAGGAAAAAGCCTGGAGCGCAATGCCGGGCGACGCATAATGCTGAAAGTTGTACAGGGTGGTTCAACAATCAAAGACTTCAAAAGGCCATTGCAAACTAAATAAAGAATCCATTCAAGCACCCGCACCTGAGCCACATCAAGTTCTGCGCTGAAGGAGATATCGATGGGACATCCCACTGAATAGCCACGTGAGGCCAACCCTGCAGTTACAGTAGCTGCACCAGCAAAGATCTCAATGAAATCAAAACGAAAAGCCAAAGGCCTATCCACCTTTTCTGCTTGTTGCTCGCCTGTTTCTTCAAAATCCATGCATCTGGAAAGAATTGACTGTGAGCTATCAAGCAGCTTGGAATACCCCCCTTTCGTACGGCAGCTTCTCCATAACACTTCAGCGATTTCCTCTCCTACATCGCTCTTGACTATGGCGCCCTTTGACAGGGAGGCATCGGATGCAAAAAGGTGTGAGCAATACCCAACTGCTATATCTGAAACCACCAAAGGCGCCAGAACACTCAGCAGGACCAGCTCAGTTGCAACAGTCCTGGGGAGTTTCAACATCTTCGGGTTTGCCGCTGAGAAAAGGTTCATATCCACCAAATGGAAAGACTTCTGAAGGATTGACATTAAAGGCCTCCTATACATCAAGATGGAAGTCCAGCCACCTACCATGCACAAATGCAAAGCGTCTGTAGTATGCGTCAATTGGCAGGCTTGCAGGGTGATCCATGAAAGAGCAAGGCGTTTCTCAGCTGGTGCCGAGACTAGAACATGACCTCTGTCTTGGCATTGAGGTGAAGCATTGACCGAGGCCCCGATAATCTTGGCATGACGCTCGCCCTTAACGTCCTTGTCATCAGACCCCAAAATGGCCTCCTGGTCATAGATGGCCTTTGCAGCCTCAAAACACCTGACGGCGGCAGTGTCTACCAGAAGGCTGCGAGGAACCTTTGAAATTGCAAAATAGTCGTCAATCACCAGCCCCTCGCATAGGGCATCGCCATAAAAGGGTCTTCCAGAAACAATCCGGCTTTCTTCCTTCAGGAGACCAATGGATTGGAGAAGGCCAACATGAGCATCCGTCGCTATCTCGACTCCAGCGTGGTCTCCCTGAAAAACACTCTTAAAAGATGCCATGCAATAACCAGGGTGGCACTTACTGAAGCTCTGGCGTTTTGACACTCCAAGCTGATCGCCTAACACTGTCCTGTCAGGTTTCTTCTGCCTGGCACGTGAACTGAACTCCGAAAATGCCATGGTGTCTTGCAAAAGATTAATAGGGAGTCTTGGCCCCACAGTGTTTGAGAGCGTCCGGTTTGTAGTTGCCAGGAACTGATGATAAAAATCTCTCCGATCGGTGCACACTATAGACAAAGTTTCTGACTTCGCATCGACCACCAAATCCAGCAGACAAGGTCCAGTTGGGAGGTAAGATGATGGTCCAGCTACCTTACCTTCAACAGCATTTCGTCCACGGCGGTCACCAATCTGTCGGTCACATGAAGAGTTTTTCAAACAGTTGAATACCCTGACCAGCTCAAACTTTCTCTCCTTCTGCAAATCCACATCATGAATAAAAAGCAAACCTCTGGCATCCCAAAGCTTAGCCAATTGAAGAACTTCCGACTCCGGGTCCATCTTGTTTGGAAATTCCCAAATCGCAGGAGTACGATCATAGAGCAAACAGTCCGGGTACCTGTAGGCCATACACAGGTTTGGGCTAAGGAACTGAGTTGCATCCCAATGTCCTGAACCAACTACTTTAAGCCTACTAGCATCAAGCGACTTATATGGCTCAAGCTCTTGGTAGAGGCTGTTTTCCAGAGGCACATCATGACCTGGGTAAATGCGTTCATAGGGGCCAGACCCAATACCTAACTTCGTTACGGCACCTGAAAGTTCTGACAGTCTTGCAAAGAGTTGAGGAAAACGTCGGCCACTTTTCAGGACAGAGAAATCCTTAGAAGGGCCGTCAGCCAGCATTAGACTCGCAATTCTCCTGTAAATGCTTTTTTGACTGGGAGATGGAATCCTCCCCAGAAGTTCCATAGAAATGGAACTGCTTCCTGACCACCAAAAGTTGAGAGCCATGACAACAACATGCAAAGCACGTCTGAAGTGCCATTTACGCCGTCTGATGGCAGAAAGACCTGGGGGCATCCTCTCAAAAATTCCCACATGAGGAGCTGGGAGAGGGAAGGCTGGCGATGTCGAAGTCAGGTGACTTCGGGGCAAGTGCATGGTAGCAAAGAAAAAGGCTGAAAAAGACGTTCTTGTGCGTAATACAGCTACAGCCAAAAATGCACACCACCTCTCAAATGTAAGGGTATCCACAGCTGAGCTAGATCGAATTCCGGGAACATGATCTCGAGGCAAGTGGTCATTGGAACTTTTGGGGAGGCTTTCCCCTGCACATGCATGAGGACTATTCCTATTTAAAAATCCATCTTTATTTTTATAGTTATTAGGAAGTCCATTAATTAAACTATCCATACTTGAGTCATGGTCATGCGTCATTGCGCATGACAGCATAGGCTTGTCAGCAGTCATGCCTTTGGCTCCACTTTGGCCTTGGGCTTCTTGGGGAAGCGAGGCTTGCGTCGAGGGGACACTTCGCTGTCTGGTTCTGCTGCGGCTGCTGCAGATGAATCTGCCGGGGACGTCGGCTTTGTAGTCCTTTTTGAGGTTTCTGTCTTCTTGGTAGCAAGCACTTCCAAGTCCTTCAAATACGCTAGGCATACCGCTGTCCAGGCTGGAGGCACAAGAGGGCTGAAAGGCTTGGAATGCTGCGCCAGAGTGAAGGTCCGATCTTGAAACATCTGCAAAGGAGGTTCCTCCATCAGCGTCAGCATGTAGGCCAGTCCCCAGTCGCCTCGGTCCACCACTGCTTGCTCGACTGCAACCATCAACAACGCAAGTATCTCCTTGGTGTGCTTCACATTCCCTGAGGCTGCTGCGTCTATGGCGTGGCCTAAAATCCACGCAACTAGGCCCAGTTCTCTGTTGTTTCGGTATCCCCCTTGCCTTTCCAAGTAGGTCAGAACCGAAACTGTCTGCAGATCCTCTTCGTTCTGCGGCACTGGCTTCGATGGGTTCAACCTGCGATGAACTTGCTGAAGAAGCTGCGTGAAGTAATTGCTCGTTCCCGCAGCCAGTTCGTTTTGCATCTTTTCCCTGCGCTGCACTCCTTTGGTCGAACTCGAACTTTGCGCGAGAGACGACAAATCGCCTACCACGTCTCCTGACTGTGACGCCAGGTGTGCAACCAGAGCTGTAATGGCACTGCTTTGTTGGGCAATGGCATGAACAATACCCCCAGCTGATTCCCCAGGCTGCAATGGGTCGTAGGGCTCGTCTGCGACCACATCTTCCACAACTCCTGCATCTACAGCAGCTCTTGTCTTTGGAGGTGGTCCCACCAGGTTCAAAGCCTTTGCAGCCAGTGTCTGAGAGATTCCGCTGGGGTTGGCAAGTCCAGCTGACACGGCTGGCAGTTTTGCGGAAGGGCCACCCTGATGACCTGGCGCAGGCTCTGCAGATGCATGCTTGAGCTGCTCTAAGCGATCCTGTCTGTCTGCCAGGAGCTTCATCTGGCTTGTCAGCACACTCAACTGCTCGGCTATCATTGCGTTTGACACTCGCTTTGCAGCCTGAGCCTTCTTTGGTTGAGGAGATGGTGATGTCTTTTGGCCGGGTGTTCCCAGGTCTTCTTGAGCTGTGTAAAAACCCGTACGCTCTTCGGACTGAGCTGCAAGCCACTCCTTAACTAAAGGCCACAAACGTGCAGTGTCAGGCAAGCTATTGGGAAAATCAGAGGAAAACCCCAAAATTGCTGCAGTGGAATCTGTCACTGGGTCATATTCCCGGCAAAATGCCAGAATTTCATCTTTCACATCGACCACACAAACTTGGCTTTCTACCCCCAAGGGAACTGTCGACAAGTCTTCGGCCTCCTCGAGAAGTCCAACTGTAAAAAGTGAATTCGGGCCAAAAAGAGTTTCTTCGGACCCTTCTTGACCTTCCAAAAGTGTCGGGCCAGCAACTATGTCATGCGGAAGGGCTAGGAGCATACCTCCCTGCCGGAACTGAATTGGGATTGCGTACACATCAACATCATCCCCAACTGCAGAAGCATATGAAGGCAATGTGAGTACAAGGAGAGAAGGGTCTCCAAAACATGCAGCTTTCAAACGATCTTTGTTTAGCATGGCTCAAACAGAGGGGGCACAGCGATCTTCGCTCCCTCACAAAAGGCACCCAGCTCAATCTCCGTAGCAAAACAATAATACAACCATCCACTGGAAAAGATCTGGTCACGAAAGCGTGCAAAATGATCCAGTGAGGCAAATCTCACGTATCCTCCGAGTCCACAGGCACGCAACACCACAAAATGCTGGGCCGGAGAGGAAATTTCTGGCTGCGAAAACTGGTTTGAGAAGGTTTCAATTGCCCCCCGAGCCCAGAATCCAGCAGAAAATGCCAAAGTAATCCGACGCAGGCCGTCGGCTGAATCCCAAGACACAAAATCAGCCTGTCTTTGCAGATGATCAGGTACAGGACCAGGGCCTTCTTCAATGCTCCCAAACTCCGATGCCGCAACTGCTGCACCTTCTTCTTTGACACACTTCCAGAGCCTGGCAACTGGTGGAATGGCAGGGAAACCCGGTTTCTCAGACAAAGGACCACAAGCAGCAGCTCTAGTCTTGGGGTCACCACGGGTATATCCCTTTGCAGGTGGCTGGCCACTTGGAGGGCCTTCCAAATCTTGATGCCACTTCTCAAGGCGTTCAAGCTTTGCAATCAACTCACGAAGCTCTGCCCCTGAGAAAGGGCTGCTCATTCAAGATACCTGGACAACCTGGGACGTGAAGCAGACTGAGGGACCTGGAAAGCAGTCCGAAGCAATTCAAAGCGAAAAGTCCAAAGACACACCAGGGATCCAACAGTGACAAGTCCAAGGATAAATCCAACACAGACACCAAGCAAAGCCCACGAGAGACAACTGGGACTGCAATGGAAGGGACAGGACGTAAGACGACTGACTTCGCCAGCAACTGACAACCAGGCCCAGAACCTTTCGAAATCTACCACCATTTACTTGAGCAGCAACGGACATCCAATCGCAGTCGATTTTAGAAGTTCATATATATATCTTGAAACCCCACCCATCCCACCCAAAAATTTCCTTTCTTTTCCGCAGGCGACACACTTCAGCAGTTCCCCGGCGCGTTGGGCCGGTTTTGCCAGGAGCGAAGATGGAATCGCCTCACGGCGGTGATTCACACCGGTGTGGGGTAGAGGTCAAAGATATCGGCCGTGATGCTATAGAAGACCACGAGGCCCAGGATCACGATTGTAAAGTTCTTGGGATCTTCCAATACTTCCTGGACCCAAGGGTTTAACCGGACTTGAGGCGACCCAGAATTCCACGAACCAACGTTGCATAGGTTGTGCCTCTGATATTTGACATATCTATATATATATATCAAATATTGAAATATATTATAATATCATATTTATATATATATCCTATCATGATGTTTACATAAACAATCAGCTTCGCCCCCTCATCAACCGCTCCAAAATGGTGACATTGACCCGCATCACTGCTCCACTGGACAACTTAGGTTCTTCAGAAGTGCCCAATCCATGCTAGGTCTATCGTTTTCCAAGCTCACTTGAACTGGACACTGCTTTCTTTCCGTCTTCAAGCCCATCCTTGCTCCCAAACAAAACGTTTCGGCCTGTCCTCCAACTTCGGGTGTCCCACACACAACAGGCCAGTCCATCCAGCTTGGGAAAAGCCTCCCAGCTGCCCACAGAGGATTGACATCGACAGGTGCATCGCAGCCGCACCCAGAATGAAGTGGCCATGGTAGCGAGTGCCTCAGGAAATCCATCCTGTTCAGTCCTGTTCATTGGTAAAGCTTGCTGTTCTCAACCATTTCCAAATTTTGGGATGGTTTCCCAAAATATGTCCTGTCTGATTCCAACTTGGTATTCCAAATATCTTGACCCATGCCAACAACATATGGACAATTTTGTATATTGTAAACAAATATATATATATGAATTGATGGGGATCCCTAAAGTACAATCAGAATGTGTCTTGAAAACACTAGGGATGCTTGGGGTGGAAACCAATTTGAGTCAGCCTCAACCAAAACAGGGATGCCCACCCAACTTCTGACAGCCCAGGACATCATAACAAATCAACCTAATATTATGGTGAACCGAAGAGTAAACCCCAGCTTGGGGGGTATGATTTGTAACATCTCAATGGACCTAACGGTAAGACCCGCTAGAAGGCCTCAATTCGCCCTGGTTTCCATTGGAAATAACATTCGAAGATTCTCCCAAAGCCCAACTGCCAACCTCACATCCTAGGGCACTCCAAAAGCCAAAAGCTAAGGAGATCTCCACGATAATGATGCCAATGGCCATGAGGTGTGCCAGTATCTCCCTGCCGAAGCTGTGACAGGCCATAGTAGGGAGTTGATTTGAGATCTTTGAGCATAGAAATCCGAAAATTGGATTTCATTGATTTCATTGGTTTGTTCAAAGGTCTTTCCCATTTCATGATGGCTTTCTGAACGGCTTTTCATGAATAGTGAAGTTTCGACGGATGAATTCAGCCGTGGCTCCTGACTTGTTGGTTTGGCAGAAGGACCTTCTCCACATCCCGCAGGGGTGAGAGATCGAAGATGTGAACATCCTCCGAATGTTGGCGCTTGCGGAAGGTTGAGGGAGGTACGGTGAGGTGAAAATCCTTGTGAAACCATTCAAAATATTGAATGGAAACAGTTGAAAAATATTGAATAATATTGACTAGAATAGCCAAATTCAAGGCACGCCCAGCCAAGACGTGACCCTGACACTGCGCCATTCATGACAGGACCAGCCAACCAGCCTTGATCAAAGTTCCTCCGTGGGGGCCCAACCACTCTGGCTGGATCTTAAATTCGGCTGCAAAGAAGTAGAGGAGGCTACACTGAAGACGGAAGAGATTCTTCGCCCACAAACTATCGCCAGCATCTGGCGCAATGGAAGCCATGACCGCTGGAGAAAAGATTTGAAAACACGCTGAGCTTGGCAAAGCCAGCTGCCCTAGTTCCCTAGTTCTTGGGACATGTTTTCCTGGTGAAATCTCCAATTTGGGGTTGAGCACCCCCCCCTTGTTTTGAGTTTGTTCTCAGAGTCCCGCCTCCAAGATATCTCTGGCAGCTCGGGAAGCGGTCTCGCAAGACATTCGTTAAGCTGTAGCGCCCATCACAAGGCGTGAAGGACATGACCAAAAGCCTTGGCGCCTATCATGAAACCACTCATCTTTGGCGACTTCTTTTGTTGCAAAAAAGAACACCCCAAAGGAGATAAGAAAGTAAAATATGTTTTAATAGCCATACTGAAGCTATCTGGTTTTTGGAACCATGGCCACATAATGATCACTTCTGGCCCTTGTATCTACAAAAAAAACACAATCAAGTGCGTGTGTGGAAGAGGTGGTACAGTATACCCTCTGGTAAATGAAGACAAATAAATACTGATCTTGGTTGGTTTTTCCACGTATGGTAGTTTTTCCATGTCTATGTTATTTTACTCGAACCCAACTTGCCTCACAATGTGTTTGTTTGTATCGTTGAGACTCTCATAGAATCCAAGCAAGCCAAGCGACAACATGCAAATATGCTGCGTGGGGCAATCCGGATCGAAACTGTTTCTGGAGCATCCCATCACAAAGCCTGAGATGTTCTTTGCTTAGAATCAACCTAGACATGTGGTCAGGGTCCCTCATTTCCTGGAAAAGTCCAACTCAAAGGGCAATGGCATCCTCCTACACCTTGTTACCCTCAGTAGCACGTAAAGTGTTAGCTATAGCTACATCGACCAATACACGGCTTTCTATTTCAACTGCATCAAATCAGAAAAAATAAAGAGCACTTACAGTATGATGAGCATTATGATTAATTAACATGGCGATGCAAAAATCATTCACCCAGCTTTGCAGCCAAAGGGGTCAAACCCGGTGACCAGGTTCCAGGATACCGTTCATACCCAGACTCAGGGATTGAAACCCAGGAAGCACTGCTGGGAATAAGAACAGTTGGAATAATATGGAATAATAACACTTACCCTCTGGTAAACTAACGTAACTATGGAAAATCACCATTTTATATGGGTAAATCACCACTGTAAATGGCAATTTTCAATAGCTTTTTGTATGTTTACCAAAGGGTATATAAAGAATTCACATTCTAAGAATTGCAACGAGCCTATACTCCCGCAGCTGACCCTAGACCATTTGCCCGTCCTGCAGCAGTCACCATGGCAAAGAATGGACCGTAGATTCCACTCGCCAAAAGCAGGAGGTTCACACGCATCAGGATATGCCCAAAGGGGCCATCTGGCAGTGAAAAACATGCGGGTGAAATGGTGAAATGCACAGAAGATCCAAAGTCTCAACCTCCATGTCTCAAATCCCTCAGCCACCTCCCATGTCCGCCTCCGCCAGGCATCAACTGTGGAGAGAACCACTTGGAGATTGGTGAATCATCACCGCCCCAGTTCACGTGTTCAAAGATCCAAAAAGGTATCAATATCCTGGACGCCATGGCCGGATATTGGTGACACTAAAATTTTGCCACACACACACACACAAAAAAAAAAAAAATGCGATGGACTTTCAGGTTGGCTTCCATCATTTGGTGTCCAAATGGGAAGTATACCTCAAAATGTCAATTCTTATGAGAACATAATGGTAACCCATATGGCACTTGTGTCTTTCAAGATTTGAGACGACCCACCTGTCATTGATACTTTCCTTCCTCAACTTTTCTCTTCATATCGGTTTTCCAGAACTCTGCCCGCCAACTCCGAACCGAACAAAAATCGCTCCTGACCAGTGCCAGAGAAGCATCCTGACCCCTGCAACTCAAATCAAAGGTTTTGATCTCTGCAAAGCCTCTGAAAGACAGGATGATCATGACCAGTACCACCAGAGCGCCCAAGGCGATCGCCACCTTTCCTGTCAGATCTACCCTGGAATACCCAACTTCAGGCAGTCCATTGTTTATCAAGTGTGACCTTCAAAGTAATGCAGCAGTCTAAATCTCATCAAAACATGTGGAAGACATCATTGAATTCTGTGTCCCGGAGGCCACTACCGGCGCCTGCCACTGATGGGGTCCAGCCCTCATGAGTACCGCCAAACATGGCCCATGGTCCAAAGAAAACATCTGTTCCTGCGAACGTAAAGAAGGGGGGAAGAACACTGACACGCCCCAAAATGGGCATGGATCAAGCCAATTAAAATGGAATATGGATAATTACGACAATTACGAAGAATGACCGGCCACTCTGTTGGTTTGGAGGGTTTTGCATGTATTGTTACAAATTGATGGAAATGGTCTGACCGGTCCAACCCTGTATTTTGATGTAGCAGTGCTTTTCCGGAACAGTGTTGGTTCTGGCTGTTGGTAAAATCCAAACCATGGTTGTTGGTTGGCCGGATCAAAGGAAATGGCATCCACCTTCACTTTTGGCTGTCCCATGATTGTTGGTAGCGATAATATTGATCTATTGTATAATCTATTTTTTTGGTTATTATTTAAAATCCTCAATATCCTTATTTATGTTGTTTGTATCCTCATTCCAACTGCATTGTCTCTGCAACAGCTAGCGAATCATCTTAAGCCACAGCATGCCATTCCATCTCACAGAATTTGGCCTAGTGCTCACCAGGAGATCTGTGAAAGTTCTGGAGGTTTATCAGAGCAAAATCCCCTCTGCCATGGTTTCTTTCCACTAACCTTACTGCCCCTAAACTTCGCTAAACCTCCCCTCAAGTTTGCACATGGTCGATTACATGACATATCGTTGCAAACCTTGGGGGCATGAAAGCATCAAACTTCTACTTGCCACGCTGGGGTGGTCCTGTGGTGTGAGAAAGCCCTGGCGACAAAAGAACCAAGACAACGCCCATAAAGCAAGGACGCCAACAAGTGCCTGCGCAGCAGGAGAATTGTCACGTGTTCCACCTAGGACCTAGGACCTAGGCCTTGTTGTTTATGTTGTTTATGTTGTTTTTAGTTTTGCGAGACACAAAAGCAATACAAAAGCACCATAGTGGAATTCCATCTGCTGAAGGATCATCCAAAACAGAATTGCGGCCACTCCTAGCTGCCTAGCTCCATCTCTGCAGACCCGATTTTCAAGCGGCATGTCCAGTCCACCCCACCTGGATTTGTCCAGTAACAGATCCACAAGACCCAAAAGAAGAAAAACATGGAGTAAGATGCAGCCAGGCTGTAGCGCAAGGAAAGGACCAGATCATCCTGGCGAAGCCAGGGGCAAAGCGGCTTTCGGGGCTTTGTTTTTAGGTAGCCGGTTGCCCCCTGGAAATCCAAGGGTTCAGAAGTTCAGAATGAAAACCACCACATTTTTGGGTTAAGCCTGCAGCAATATGCAATGGAAATGCATCAGACCAGTGAACCCCAAATTGAGGTTTGATCTGCTGGTTTTATAATGTTGTATCTGCTTCCTGTATCTGCTGCTTCCAACCTATCCAGTCGGCCATGAGTCCACATGGTCCCCGTGAGTCCACCATTTTTTCCAAGTGCCAAGTCCTGAGCGCAAACCATCAATGCAGTTTTGTAGACATCGTCGGCAAGGAATTGGCTCAAAGTCAATGGCATCAGCACGTGACAGCTCACAGTTCCCCAGGTCAGCAGGGAAACCTCCAATCCCTCGTTGATCACCTGGGCAATGGAATCTGAGTTGATTGGTACTGGGTTTAGATGACCCTTCACTACGGTCCATCAGAACTTACCAAATACGACTTCACTGACCGGGATGAAACCAGGGCCGGGCACCAGAACCTCTTCATTGCTTCTTGTGGTGTCTTTTCTTGTATAAATCAAGTAAAAGCCTTGATTCTTCGTGGTGTTTTGTAGCTCACTGAAGTGTCTTTATGTGATTTCACTAGTTCATACTTTGATCTCTCAAATTTTGCCATGCATCGGCCATGACCATGACGGAAAGTACTTGACCAACAAGAGCCAGTCCGAAGGCCAGTTCTCCCAACTCGTCAGTCCCTCCAGCCAAAGCCATGAAGATCGCGAATGCCAAAGTCATGAAGATCGCACCACCTGAACCATGGTGGTAATGATGGAAAATGATCTTCCAAATGACTTCGCACACTTGGATTTATTCAATCTAGAGCCAAAAACATCTTGATGAAACACATGTGACATGAGGACCCGAAGATCTGGCTGTCTCGAAGAATCACATATATACCCCAAAATGAAGGTTGATCATCATGTTCTTCTCAAAAGCCTCGTATTTGGGGGGCAAAATCCCCCCATTTTGGGGACAAATCCATGGCCTTCCACTTGAGCAGGACAGAGCCAACATAGTCGCCCCTCATCTTTCAAACTACCAGCCCACTGTGCTTGTGCTATTCCCAAGGCGGTGACGACCAAGGAAATTCCACATTGTGCCATGCCAAAATGTTTGGCATTTCCCAATCCAGACAGAATCAGTTGGAGCAGAATGCCAATGCTCAGCTTGCCAAAGTTCCAGCGGATCCTACCAGCGGGTGCCATGGTGCCATGGTGCCATGGTCATGGTCGAAGCACTGAAAACACCAACATGTGTTTAGCTGTTACACAGTGTTACACATATGTTGTTAAATTATTATATAAATCAGATCGCGACCATCCCTCATTCCACAAAAGTCACTTTTGACCACAGTACTCATCCGCGCAGCTCGACTAGACCAACATTCTCCCATTTTAAGACCCCTCTGAGAATCAGTCAAAGGAGATCATCATCCCTTGTAACGTGTTAAAATATGTTAAAATAAGATTTCCTTCGTCAAACCACCAGTTATAACCTTGGCCTCAAAACAGCTCGACATTCCATCATGGTACAGACAGATGTCCTGGACATTGAAGCTCCACTCTCATCAGACCATGCACTCCAGAGCGACGCTAGCCACACGAAGCACAACATCAGAGTCGCAAAGGTCGAAGATCCTGCGATGCAACAAATGTCCTGCCATGGTTCTGGAGCATTTGGATCATCTGGAGGGAATAGTTCATCCTCATCATCTTCATCCGTTTCATTTGAGCCATTTGTGCTGCCAGCTGTTTTGTTGCCCTTGCGAGCCTTTTGCTTGGGCGCCACAGTCCCCTTTCTTTTGCTAGCGTTTACTGGCGGCGGGGCCTTGGCAGGTGGCGTTTTCACTGGCGCTGGTGTTTGTTTCGCCAACGATGCCGTGGGTACCGTGGGTACCGTGGTCTCCGGTTTTGCCACTGCACTTCGGTTGGGCGCCACAGTTTGCAAAAAGCTTTCAGTATCATCGAAGAAACAGTCAGTCGAAGATGCAACAAGGGAACAGAGGCATAGATTGATGCAGAAAGCGCGCATCGCTGGGTGATGTAGAAGTATATGTCCAACAAAACGCCAAAAGCGTGATAGGAAAGAGGTGCAAAGAAAATTTGGGTGGTCAATGTCGACTTTTTCATGGGATTTGAACACTACTTTCTGTGGACATAAAACATAGACAGTTCAGTATCCTGCTCCTTCCCTAGTTCCCTAGGGTAGCCTAGGGAGGAGCTCGAGCAGGATAATGCAGCGGTTCAGCTGGTGGGAGAAGCCAACTTGTTCCAACCCAAAAGCATGTCAGCGATACCCCATATACCCAATGACCATAATGACCTACCACAAATTGGGGGTACTGTATTCAAAGCTACGGCCCCAAGAAAGAGCTCAAAAAAATGTTTGGTTTTACCGTGGTTTATCACCTTCTTTCATAATCACTGTTGACACTGCTGCTGAGCTGCCACCTTTTAAACTGCTGCATTGAGGAGATTCGAACAGCTTTGGTGGAAGATGCGTTCGCTCCTGCTATAAACAACACACAACGGGCAGGTCATCAAGACGTGTTGCCCATCGTTTTCATCCAGTTAAAACGAGCTCTTTGTCCGGATCCTTGCCAGCAATTGCCTCACTGGTTGCCATGGGTTGCAGCCGGAAGGCTTCATAGCCAAGATAGAAGAGCGGACATGCCAGGTAGCTCACCTCACACCAGATCACACCAGCCATACCAACTTGCCGAGCTGTGCCAGGATACTGTAGAAACATCCAAATATTGAGGAGAGAAAAGATAAAACGACAACAATGCACCCAAGATGCCGACTGCAGATTCATGTAGCTTTGGACCCCTGAATGGATCAAAGATTGCGTGCAGATCATGGAGTAGAGACAGGGTGGCACATATTTGAACAGAATTTCAATAGAGGCAGCCAGCCCGGCGCAATCTTCTAAGGGCTCAAAGTACAAGACGTTCATAGGGACCAAAGCAGCTGCAAGAAACAGCGATTGAAAGGAACATGCGATAGTGTAGGACCAGAGGTACTCCTCAGATTCTCATAAGTTACCCTATGCTTCTTCAAAATTTTGTTCCTGACTCATGGATTCTTTGAACGCAAAAAAAAAAAACGTTTTTGCTGGAGTGCATTATCATTTGACTTCCAGTGTCTCTTGCCAAAAAAAACTGACAGGCAGGTGAGAATCGGCAAAGTTCCCAAGAACCATGGAAAGGGCACCTGTGAACGCAACAGCAACCTTGCTCAGCGCCGGAGAACTGTTTTTAGCATACTGGAGAATGGCTGTAGGTCAGGCATAAACACAGAGGTTTTCATCCAAGAGCTTCTGCTGTGGTCCACATGGGGGATGTCTCCGTTTTAGACTGGAGCACATGGAGAATCCAATATAATTTTGTACTGCGGGATCGGCTTGTTTGAGAGGTAGAATACCGAATGTGTATGTACTAAGTATGTACATTTTGATAATTTATATATATAAACATCGGTTGCAGCACACTGGGTTCATGCTAATCTCACCACAGTATCTGTCAAGTTGTGTGGCCATGCTACGCACACAAAATGTGTCCCTGGGCCGACCCTCTTTCAAAGGGACCATGAAGGGAATCTCAAAAGTTCATGGCATTGATGCAGTCGATGCAACGGCTTCTTTTTGCCAGTCACCACCGTTTTCGTGTGCTCTTGAATGTGATCCCTCAATCCTATCCTCTAGTTACTCTAGTTTGAAACTCCCCATGGAGCAAAAATGAATGGATTTAATCAATTCCACTAGGGATATGGAGTTTCAGGGAGAAGGGATCAGTTTTCTTGACCTTGATTCTCTTGCAGACTTATTTGTGGGAGCATAGGTTTCGGAAACGCTCCTTTTCGATCTTGGCCCCCTGAAACATCTTATTTCCCTTGGATTCTTTTCTTTTTTGGGGGGGGGTGAAGCCATTGCAGCTCACCACAACCTGCAGCCATGTCACTATCACCCAGCGACCTGTTTGGAGGATGGATAAGGCGCAGGCGGATTGTAAGGATTGCATCAGAATCACGCCCAGGGCATCTAAAACTGCCCAGACCAGCAGAATCACGGCAGTGCCGACGGAGGATTGACCATAACTCACCTGACCAGATTGAATGATAAGAAGTGTACCAAACATGCAAGTTGTAAACAGAATGAGTGAGAAATCACCCTGGGATTCTCTCTCTTCCCACTTCGTAGTGATCTAATCTAATGATTCTTTGCATTATTTTGGAGAATGCTAAGATAAAGTGCAATGAAGGGAATGCAGAGTATTTGGCAAAAGTACCCTCCCTACGCCGTACGCAGGTTCTATGACCAATATTTTATGTTATTATTTATTTTTGAATCAACATGGAGAAAGGATGTATTTGGCACTTGATCCAAGAGGAAGGGAGCTGGGGGTTGAAGCATATTAATCTCCACTGCTCTCCATGAGGAAAACCGTTGTTTTTTGGAACAGAGTTGAATCTCAAGGTCTGCCAAGTCTGGAAGGGCCTGCGAAACGTAGCCGATGTTGGCGCTGAAGACTTCAAATGGAACAATGACGGACATTTCCGCGAGCAAAATGCAGAGGGAACCTGCGGACAGGTAGAACTTGGCTGAGGCATTGGATGCAGCAACGGACAAGTGGGACAAGTCGTGCAACAAAAAACTTCCTTAAGTTGTTCAAGCCATCATCGCAACCACGTGTTCAAAGTGTTCCTCTCCAACTTTGGCAGTGCCTGGCACAAGGATTCTCCGAAGATCGCTGCGAAAAGTGCCCTGCTTCTCAGCGTCACCATTGTCGGGGCAGCTCTCTACCATGTATATTGCCGCGTAAGCGGCAAAAGCTCCCCAGATGAGGGCCAAGCAGAAAAAGGAAAAGCGCCAATTAAACAACACGCTGGAAAAGCCGCCAAAAATCGGAGCCACAATCCTAGCAATGGAATGGCAAACTGTGAAATGTATTGAAATATATTGAAATGTAAGTGCTGACCAACATGAAGGCCCTGAGAGTCTTCGTCAACTGCAAATCGGATGCGAATCTTTCAAACTCCAAATCATCCAAATTTCTTCGTTGGGAACTCAATGGAACTTATGAATAACAAACTTGAGGCCAAAGGGAAGCGGACGAAAGCTAGTTGGGCAATGAGGTCTGTGCACTGAGACTATATGTGGCGTGACCGTTGGGGCTTGGCAAATTGTATAGGGAAAAAGGGGAAAAAGGTGGCGCTAAATGAAGCAGATGTCCAGGAAAGCGCAAGGAGCCAAGAATGGTATAGATAGGTGTCTCCTATTCACAACACTCACGGTAAAATAGTATTTTGCATTGCGAACGCCTGGTCGCAAATGAAACTGAGTGGGGACGTATTGAGGTTTGAGCCCGCAGGGGTGGTACAGTTCGAAGCGATACATCATGGCCAGGGGCCCCACCATCTGCCAAGGTTCTGCCCTGCGATGGCAATGATTTGTACACAGGAGATGACCACGATGCGCTCCTTGCGGGTCAAAAAAACAATCAACACCCTGGTTTCCACAGCAAAATCGTTGGTGTAAAAATAGATGTCCTCAATGAAAATCTAGAATATTTCACATAGTTGAATTGTTCTTTGCTATAATAAATTATATATCAAAATATGTTAAAATCCCAAGGTTTTTTGGCCAAGATCAACCAAGGCTCCTCAGGTTTCGAGAAATAGTCTCGACAGGCAGCATAGATCACTGGTTCCAGCGACTCACCCAGGCCCTGCAGGAACCGCGACGCCAGGAACCAGTTGATGTTGGGAGCACATCCACAGGCGAAGGTGGCAAAGGCCAACATGGACAAACCTCAACCAGGGCAGTCCTGGAATTCATGGCATTAAATGGGTATGGATCAATACCTATTAATACCATTTTTAGGGGAATGAACATCCATTTACCAGCTATTTTTGATGTTCACCAGGGGTACAAGGTTTTGACACACTGCCAAATGGCAAACCGAAAAATGACCCAAAATCAGCCCCCTTTTTTTATGATTTTTATGGCAAACCGTAAGACATGGAAACAAAAAATCGGGAAACCAAAGTATCAAAATTAGTTTCTGTGGCCTCACTGCCTGGAAACATGTGACCATCACGGGTCGACGGCCTACATGATCAGAGATGCCAGCTGTGACCAGACCAGTGACCTTAGCAAGGTGGTTCGACAATTTTAGGGGATCGAATGGGATATACAAATAATATGGGGTATGATCACATGGGATACATAACCAAACATATGATTTGTGTCTGAAAATGGGGCATACCCAGAGTTTATGGCCTTTTTTTAGTGGAAATAAGGTGACGACCCAGTGAAATTACCTCATCAATTAGTTCCAACGTTGGAATTGATGAAACACCAAGGTGATACGCTCGCCATGCCGCCCATTTTTTCAAATGCCTGCTTGAAAATTGTAGGTATCCCAAAAGAGAAAATCACGATTAACCAGTGGAGGGGTGCCCTAGTTGCCCTAGTTTCAGACAAACCCATGTTTTGTTTCATGTTCAGCAACTACAGCGACTGAGGCATTCATCTTTAGAGACAAATGGCTGATTTCACCACGAAGTTCAACTGCACGGTCGCACTCATGACGCCTTGAGACCCTGAAAGATCCACACCCATCTGCGGAAGACTTGGTGCATACTGATCCGTGGTAAAAAAAATGAAACCATAGGTTGAACATAGAAAGAGCAACCACGTCGTGGGACAGCCATCCTTCACACTTTCATCCTGTGGTGCTTTCGTTGGCAAACCGCGCAGGAGCCACACAATGACCGACATCAATAGGAAGAAATACAGCACCATCACAACTGCTTTGCTGAACTGGCTGAAAAAATGCAACAACGGAGTCACCGTTTCGGGTTGATATGAAACCTCACAGGTTTCAGTTTGGATTCGTTGCATCATTTGAAAATGTAAGCAATCCATCCAACAACCTTATACAAATAAACTACTACAGGAAATCAAATATAACTAAATAATGTTTAGATATGTTTAGCATGTTTTTTTGAACACTTTAAACATTTACAAATTCAACACGGAACGCGCCAAAACAAAATGCGTCTCATGTACATTCACGACTATTTTGAGGGACAAAACCTTGCCTGGCGCTTGGGGTCTATTTTGATCTCCAGCAATGGCCACATTTTGGGGACATCTCCGTGCGACGTCGCATGGACAATTTCAGCATGCGTCTCCATGTTCACCTGAAGAAAACCATTGAAGGTGTCCTCAGTGTCCTCCACCACATGACTCTCACAATGTGAATTTGCACGCACTGCGGCCAAGCACAGCCATCCAAGAGATGTCTTCAGCAAAAGCATAGACCCGCCAAGGTCACAAAGTAAATCCAGAAAATCCAGATGGCACCATGGAATGAAATGTTCAATATCGCATGACGTGGGCTAGGTGCTGAGCCACAATCTTACAAATCAAACGCATGTGGATTTGAAATGTCCATACTGTCACATACACGCGGCCCAAAAAATGTAGTGATTTTTTCAATTTTGCAATCACACTCACTCACGAACCTGTACAACAGTAAAACGAATTTCTTCGTCAAAACGCTTTCAAGCAAGTGCATGCATTCTCTTTCTTTTCTCACTTGGGATTGAATCGCAGCCAGGTTTAAGGCTGTAGGGCTTGGCACTGTCTGTTGGAGGTGAAAGGGGTCGGAAGGAGGGTCATCGAAAAAGAGCGAGCGAGGTGCAAGCCCACCCTCCCTCCTCTTGAGAGGAAAGCTTGCATCACAGGCGAGATGCATTTGTCTTTAGAAGACATTGTCAAGCATGACAAAACGCTTCTTCGTCAAAACGCTTTCAAGCAAGTGCATGCATTCTCTTTCTTTTCTCACTTGGGATTGAATCGCAGCCAGGTTTCCCCATCTGAGGTAAATGCGATACCAAATCCCTCATGATCTCATTTGCATCATTGGAAACATCAACAGCACCAGAAAGCAAGTGTCCATCAGTTTCGCCTCTTGAAGGCGCATCAGCGACATTGCAATGTGAAGGTACTCGGGCATGCCATATGAATGCATGCAACTTTGACTCCAGCTCTACGAAGTTCTCCGCAAGGGAGTCTACAACTTTGTTTTCTGAAACACCACGAAGTAGGGAGAACTTTGTTCCTTCGTTGTCAACAAACAGGACACACCTTCTATTCTCAAACCGTCGCGACCAAAGTTGGAAGGCAATCACTGCAGCCAGCGTTTCTGCTTCAAATATGATTTGCTTCTTGCACAGCTCACCCAACGCCTCTCTGGCTCTGGAATCTAACTGCAAAGAAAAGAACTGAACCTCTGTTTGAAAGAAGAAAACGCCGCCAACCCCGCAAGGCCATGTAGCACTGTCTCTCTCGTAGCAAGCATCCGTGAATATGACCATGTTATGGTCATCCAAAGACCTGATCTCTCGGGGGATGTTCTGCTTCAGGAGGGTCGCAAAGAGGTTGATGAACAGTCGGTCTTTTGGCAACAATTGAAATCGTCGCCCTTCTGCGAAATCGCCAAGAGCTTTCAGGCATCTCTTGCCTGTACGTCCAAAAAGCTGGCCATCCGCAAACTGCATGCGGCCACGCAAGCGTTGGGCGTTCTTGCTACTAAGAGATCCTGCTTCCAGCACCAAGGTCAGATCCGCACACAATTCCTCTACTCTGTTGACTGTGTTGCAAACAAACGCTGTAGCATAGATTGAACTGTCAAGCCGGAATGCAACACCTAAGGCCTCACACGTCTGCGCGAAAGGCATGCATTTGTCCCCTGACTCTGCAAATGCCCAGCCCAACAATTTGAAGAGTGAGCAGACTGCCATCTCGGTGTTATTTGCAAGCCGGGGTTTGCTGAAACTGATAAAATCATCATAAAATGAAGTCCACATGAATTGGCACCCCACAGTGCCTATCCACCATATGGCTCGTGAGAGCCTAAGGAAAGAGTGCACACTCCTGACTGCGCCAAAAGGAAGCACTACACTGCGAAACAGCCGCACTTTGCCAACCGAAGGGTCAAATACCCTCAAGCAAGAGAAGTTTCGGCCATCCGGACTCAGGCCAACCTGTCTGTACGCGCTCTTCAAATCAAATGTCCTTGCCAATAGCTCCGGCGATACCTTTGCCGCCACACATGCATTAAACCAAAGCACCAAAACCGCACATGCAATATCCACCGTGTGCAAAACAGGAGCTTCCACTGCAGTCACGCAGGAGTTAACTCCTGACTCAGAGTAGTCATCAATTAACCTCAATTTTCCTTTCTTCTGCAGAAGCCCGAATCGTCTGGAGATAGGCTGCCCATCGGGTACTTCTTCACTTGTCAGCGGCCCAATGAGCCAACCCTTGGCAACTTCTTCCATCGTTTTCTCCCAAACTTGATTGTCCACATCTTTGTCGCCTGAACCTTGTCTATCATTCTCAACTTTGCTCCTGATCCGTCTCGAGCTGCAGGAGAGCTCGTCCACTGTTGAAAGGGCCGGCACCAACTTTCCCGGCAGCATACCAGTTGAAGCAACTTCGCCTACCAGATCTGCCCCATTTTTGAGCTCGTCTACAACTGACAAGTCAGGAAACTTCGTTTCAACCAACATCTCTTCAAAAAGCAAAATGCGCTTTGCTGCAACAGCCTTGGCTACCACTGGGTCCATGGAATTCTTCAGAGCGGTCTCAGCAGACACCAGCTGCTTCGCCCTGGCTGTCCACTTGGAAAGAAACTTCGTGCGCTTCAATGCAATTTCATGATCACTGTAATTCAAGTTGGCATGTATGGCATCCACACATCCTCGACAGAGAGAGGGTGCTTCGCCTCCAAAGCCTTGCGCACAAACTCCTCTTCGCTCCACAAAAGTCCAAACAATTGCAGCTCAACAAAACAAGGAAAAATCAAGCAATCAAAGTTGGAGAAAGCCACATCGAACTGCCATTGAATGCATTGCGTTTGCAAAGCCAATGTCAACTGCTGCATGTCGTCACCCCCCAGCTTAGCAGTATGCAGCAGTTTTGCTGAAGAAATATCCAGCGCAGAAATTGGCCAAATTTGCACATTGTCATGTAAAATTCTGATAAATTTTGCTTTGAAATCAGGCAGAAAGGTTGCGACCTTATTGGATGGTGGCTGATTGTCGGCAAATGCACGAGCCGCCAGATTGGAATTAACCCCAAAGTGGGGCTGCAAACCCTTCCGTCGAAAAGCTGCCGCAAAGGCAGAGGCAATTGCATCACACAAATTTGTAGGATAGTGGACTTCTAGCGCTGTTGCAAAGACTCTGCGATTTTCCAATCGTCTTCTGCCCCATGGTTCATGGAAATGATCACCGGGGCATACCAAATTCACTGCAGCTATTTCTGGAAAATTGCCCAGAAGTTTGGTCCATTTGGGTCTCTTTGAACCGTAAGCACAAGCTTGATGACATTGCTCCACATCCTGCGTGGTGTGCTGTCTGTCTATCCAGGGTGTTGTTTGCCAGAAAAGAGAATCACGAGGGTTCTCGCATACGCAGAATTTACCAAGCTTTGTGCAAAGGTCTTGACATGCTGCTGTGAAATCATACAAAATATTGGCTTGGCTGACACGCAAGAAATCCAATTCAGTCAAATCGGGCAGCCCATCTGGCTTCTCCCAGGATCGAAGCGGCTGAGGAAGGTCAGGTTCCGCCGGATCTTGTATGTTTCGTGCAAGGCTAGCAGTGCCGCACGGAGGCGCAAGAAACACGCCGTGAACTTGTGGCAAGGAAATCCAATCGAAGACCAACTGCTGGTTGCAGGCCTGAGTCAAATCTAATTTAGTAATCATCACCTTGGGTGACTTTGGCAAAAACTTGTCCACCGCTATGATGTCAAAGCCCAGCTTCTTGAAGGCTGCACTCACACCTGCAGTACCGCAAAAGATCTCAAGTACGACAACATGAGACGCATTTTGAATTGTTGAAGGCGCCTCTGATAGTCACTCATTGGCGGCGGGCATCTCACTCTGATGTGCATCCTTATAGGCATGCGTTTTGAAGCACCCTCCTTTGAAACAAACATGACGCCCTTTAGGGCATGAGCCACCCACCGGTGCTTTCGTGTAACTGCCGAGGTTGAAGTCAAAACATATGGGCCTGTTCTTTGCATCACGGCCCACGCAACCCGCATACCCTTTGGGTGCAGCATTTGAACCTGAGGACTTGTTCTTACCTCCTTTGTGCTTCCCCTTTCCCTTTTGATACGGACCTGAACCAGATGAATGCTCAGGGAAAGTCTTCTTTGGCCCAAAGGTGGTGTCCTCCTTAGCGACATGCTTTGGTAGTGGCACCAAATGGAATGCTGTGTTGTAATCTCTGAGAGCGTCTTCCAAAGCAGCGTCAAGGGGACGCACAAGGTTTGCGCCAGGGCGGATGTCTGCCACGTTGTGTGCAAGGTAAGAGAAAACCTCACGATCTGCACGCATGACCTGTGCCAAAGTTGTACTCTGAAAACCAATGGGAGCCTCCGATGTGAGGTGCTTCATCAATCGCTCCACATATAGTTCATGCGCTCTAAAAGAAATGAGGTTGCTGAATTCATACGCTAATCCTCTCCTACGCAGGCACATGGAGAGGTGGAAGGTTGTAGAGATGGCTTCGTCAGGGACCGTCTTTGATTCCTTGACTGTCAGGCTCCCAGCATCCAAACGCAACTTCTTGTCACTCTTGCCTGCAGAAATCTCATTCTCACGGCTTGTGCACTTTGCTGGTTCTATGTACCTGAGTGTTCTTGATTCAAACTGAGCGCAGCATTCGTCAAGCAAAGTATGCGACGGTTCACCTGCTCCATGAATGTTGAGGCCCTGTAGTCTGGCCCTGATTTGATCCATCCTCGCGTTCTTCTCGGCGATTGGCACAGGTTTGGGCACCGCGTCAGTTGACTCCACTGAAGACCTAACAGAGGAAGTAATGACAATCTCCGCTTCAAAGTGCAGTCTCCTAATGGCAGCTGCTGGCCCCATAGCCAATGCTACACCTCCGTTGGCTTCAGTCACCCATCTGTCAAAGGCTGCCTCTTCAAACTCTGCTCCAGGCCTGAAGACTGCAAAGGCTAGGTGCCCCAGCGTTGTGATTCCATTTCTAGCCAGGTTTCTCATGAACTCAGCTGGAACTCCATAGTCAGCTGCCCTGGCTGAGAAATGCGCCTCGCTATCCATTAAACCTGCCATGCTTTCGAACCAAAGGTCTGTTGGATTCGATCAATCAAAAATATGCACACTTCAACGCAGCAAGCCACAACTCTCAAAGTGAGGTCAGAAAGAGACAAACACAACAGGTGGGAATCCCGAAACACAAACAGAAAATACTTACTGCACCAATAAGCACAAGTGGATTTCCAACGCATGCAGGCAATGGTGATGAATGAATACGCAAGTGCTTCAGCGTTTCTGAACTGATCAGAAACCAGAAAAAGTCACTTAGAACTGAACAAATCAGTTGTAATATCGGACAAACCGATCATTGATTGCAACCTGCTGACAAACAGCAGCTTGGCAGCGCAAGCTGCCAACTTTTTCCAAGAGCGCAGCCTCGCAAGAGGTGGCATCACAAACTGCTAGCAAAACACTTGCTGCATCTCAAACCGTTCAGTGCAGGGACAGGAAAGTAAGTGTCACTCAGCAATCTTCCACAACGGAAGCTCTTGTTGTCTCTCCTGTGATGGATTACCAGCGTCTTCGCATTGATAAACCATTTCACTGAACTGGGCACGGTCTCGCGATCAACAACACGAGGAGCATCAGCTTCTCCAGAGGCAACATCGTCGCTCGATTCTGAGTCCGAGCTGCCTGTCTCATCCTCTGAGTCGCTGCTCCATGGCCTCGTCAAAATCTCCTGTTCTTCCAGATCAATGACACCCGTGCCCAAATCACCTTCAGGCCATGCGATCTCCAGCTTCACTGACGTCTCCTCCAAGGGTGTCCCTGGTGAGTACTCCAACGCCGGCGCAAGGAAATGCTGGTGGGCTTCCACGTCCTTGCATGAGCTCGCAAAACTCTTGTCACAAGCCCCAATGGGCATAGCAGGTGTTGCAGGTGCCGGTGTCGCTGGGGCTGGAGTCACCATACCCGACCTTGTACTGTCAGGGTGGAAGAGCATGGACCTAATTGCTGAGAGGACTTCCACAAAGCTCCGCATTGCGGCCGAAATAATGTCCCGCGAATACAAAGCTGTAGCCCCTTGAATTGCGCTCGAGTGTCGAGCTAAAATCTCTCGATGTTCACCCGAAACACCATGTTTGGCGCACCACGACAAACTCGTAGCTTTGAAGGAGTGCGTAGTGAGCTTTCTGTTGCCCACCACCTTCCCTGAGCTTTCAAAGAGCCCTTTGATAAACTTGTTGAGCTCCTGTGAGGTCAAATACCTCTCGCACCATGTGCCAGAAATGCGGCCAGGTGCAGGCATCATTGGCAATGGGCAGTCCACTGGCAGCTCCAACCCAAGGCGCTCTCTGAGTTGAAGGTAATCTCTTGCCCAGTTACCTCCTCTGATTCCAGTCGCCGCAGCCACTACTGGCAAAAGTTTCGCTTTGGTGTCCATGTTCCTTGCTCCCTTGTGAATCGTGGCCCCAACTTCCAAGAAGGCTCCATCCTCGTCCAAAAAGGCATTTGTGACAGATAGAAGATCTGAATGTCTTGCTCGTGCGTACAAGAGGTGAAGCATGTGACCCACGATGACACGATCTATGTCACTCCGTTTCGGATCCACAAAGCACTCATGAAGGAATTCCACTTCGGCCACCGTGAACACGTCAGAGGGGCGCCAGGGCCTCTTGCTGATGTACAACTGGGAGGCCAGCCCCCTTATTCTGAGGCTCTCCATCACCTCCAGCGCTCCATCAACACGCATGGTGAAGTGACTGAACCTAACCGCCTCCAACAGACTGGTGGCCCTTGAAGCTGCAGCACCGGACTCCTTCAGGTGACGCAAGTAAGTCCAGACCAGGCTTTCCTTGAAGGGCATCCACGTAGATCCAAACTCTCTCATGAGCCACTGATTGAAAAGTTTCACTGCATAAAGACGCTTGAGCAGCGTGTTTGGTGATTTCAGTGCAAAACAGGCGTCTAAAATTTCGACCCCGTATCTGTAGATGTCAACCAGGCCATGTTCAGCTGAAGCTGTGCGTCCTGGATCGCTAGCTTGTAGGTTGTAGCGCAACAGGTCCCACCACTGCTTCACTGCGTGTTCTCTTCTTGAACTGCGTTCTTCAGCATATGAGCAACCGGGCATCTGTTTCACTACGCCCATATAGATGGCAGGATTGTACACCTTGGTTTGCACCGATAGGGACCCCTCGCAACGAAGTCCAGCATCCAACTCCAGGTTCACACTGACAAAATTGTTGATTCCTGGGCTCAGCCTGGGAAGCTTGGCATCAAGTCTACCTTGATCCCCAAAAAGTCTGGCAAGTCTTCCTTTCTCCCACGGGAAACGCAGCTGCTTCTTGTCTGTAAGCCGCATCGCCTCTGAAACTGCTACAGAGGGTGCAGCAGAAGCTCTGTGTTCTACTGATTTGGCAGCTACCTGTACTACTGGCTCGCTCTTGTCAATGATGGTGATACCACTTGGAACGTTCCCTCCTGGTTCAGGCAAAACCGGAGGCTCAAAAGCAAAGAAATCGGAACCCTTTGACAAAGCATCTTCGTCTCTATCTGACATAAGTTCCCAACTTCTCAAAGACTCATGTAGCCCTGATGAATTGTGTGCAAAAACTTTGGCTCCAGCTTCTTCCAAACTGTCATCCCAAGAACGTTCAAAATCGCAAACCTCTTCTACGGGTAGGTCAGCTTCCGGTTCTTCTGCAAATGAAACGTTGGAACCAAACCTTGCTTTCCAACGTGCTCTCATCTTCGGTGACGATGTTCGAAACACGAATGATATGTGTGGCCCTCCTTTCGCTGACAGGGCTCGTCACACCACCTACAGCTGTACCCACACGTCCAAGGCTTGCGCAGGCCTTGGGAGTTGTATTCTGGCTGCTGAGCACCAGCAGCACCACTGTCACCTGCAAGATCCCACACGCTGGACCCTGAACTCCCTGACAACTCTTCACGCTTCTTCAAGGTGTCAGTGATTTGTTGAATAGTCTCAAGCAACGCACCTGTGGTATAAGATGACCAAGCAATTCCTGGTGCCTGGCTACTCACAGGTTTTTCCCCATGGCTCATCGAAAAAGAGCGAGCGAGGTGCAAGCCCACCCTCCCTCCTCTTGAGAGGAAAGCTTGCATCACAGGCGAGATGCATTTGTCTTTAGAAGACATTGTCAAGCATGACAAAACGCGTATTGTTCATTTTTGTCAATTGGCACGTTTGGTTGGCGATTGACACACGTTGCTCACAATTTTGAATCGATTCAAGTGTGAAGTTGGAGTACATCCATTTTGCGAAAACAACACCATTAAGCCTTACAGGAAAGACGAGTACCAATAAGATTTGAAAAGTCTGTTGAAGCCAAATACTTAATGCGTCCACCATCGGAAAAAAAAACACGCAAAAAATGAGAGCTGACCGCCCTTCCCTTGCGGTAACCATGCAGCAAAAAAAATGCGGTAAGCATGCAGCAAAAAAAAACGATCGACATGCCAGTTCTAGGCTTAGCCGGTTGCCATTTCCGAGAAAATTGGAGAAAATGAAAGACGCGGCAGGTACGTGGATTGAGCGTCCCCAATATCACTGTCCATCAGATGCGCCTTCGTTAGATGGAGCATCTTCTGCACACTCCATCCCCCCCTGCAACATTGAAAATTCCCATCGACATCACAAAGCAGATACAAGTTTTATCTCACAATGTCAGGGGAGGTAAGAGGCGTATAGGAGCCAACGATGCTTCTCGAGGATCAGATTCGACAGCAACTTCGGGTACGGCAAAATGTTGGCGCCAATAGATGCCTATACTGTATACTGCATCCCTCTTTCCAGGACCCCGTCAAAGACCAAAAGAATTCCTCAGGACTTGGAGACAAGGTGCATCCCGCGGCATGTAGCTCTGTGATCCACAATTCCTTCTGATTGTTCTTAACCCTCTACACTTCAAAGGTCACTTGAGAATTTTTTTCGTGAAGAATGGCCGAGGAGGGTCACCCGTAGGGTCGTCCGGTTCTTGTTCAATAAGATCTGTCAAAATCCGTTCAACACCATGCTCAGAGGACATACCACTGACCGACGCAACTTCCGAAGAATCATCATCAACGTCGTTGGCTGGCACTGCAAATTGATTGTGCGTACTTGCAAAGATATGGCTGTGTACCCAAGCAAGTGATAGAGATGAATAGCCAGGTATATAAGAGGAAAGGGACACGGCTGTGTACCCAATTTCCGTTATGTTGGTAAGAGAAGGCAACTCTCTTTATCTAAAAAGAAGAGGACACGGCTGTGTGTCCAAATTCCCAGTTAGCTAGGGAGAGGACACGGCTGTGTGCCCTGCGACAACTAAGAAGCGCACTAAAACGCGAAGACAAGGACAGACAAGGAGGGGCCTGAGAGTAGGGCAACCAGAGGAAGGCAGCGGGCACGGCTGTGTGTCTAGCTACTTGCAGTAACTGTAATAAACACACCAGAGGGAAGATACGTCAGGACGCGAAACCATAGAAACAGGGACATCTTTGGGCAAGGTTTCCAACTGGTGTTAGCATGGCTTGGTGATCTACTTGTACTTGCCTGAGTATAACCTGGTTTCTGGCTTTGGGTTTACGAGATCTCCACACCGTAGTAGACTTTGCCTTCTTTCTGAAAATCTTTGCCGAGCTTGGAGAGCCACAGGAGTTTAGACTGTCAGGTTCTTTTAGCTGGAATCCTTCCACCTTGTGAACTTTGTCACTTCAAGTTTGAGGATCCAAGATGACGACACTGGATGCAGCAACTTTGAACACTTTGTTGCAGGAGGTAGCAATGCAGCTCGTGCAGCAGCAGAAGCCGCTAAATCTACTGCGACATCAAGCTCCACGGAAAGCAGCAGTGTGGATTGGTCCAAACTGTTGTCAAAGCCGAGCAACTTTGACTACAAGAGCCAGGAGGAAGAGATTCATCACTTCAAAGACTGGTTTTGGCAGATGACCCAGTATGTTTCAGCAATTGACCATGGGTACTCCAAGGAGCTTGCAGACTTGGAGGCAGAACCTGGCAAGTCAATGGATATGGCGACTGCGAGTGCATCTACAAGAGAGACGAGCATGAAGTTGTATGGCTTGTTAGCAAGGCTGATGAGAGGAAGGACCTTTCAAACACTGTAAAGCGGTGGCCAACTCTGACGGCTACGAGGCATGGAGACAGTTGCTTTTGAGTTTGAGGCCATCACATGTGGTCGAGGACTTGGGCTGATGTCTGCAATCATGTCATGGCCCGAGTTTAGCATGAAGATAGCATTGCAACCACAACTACTTCGACTGGAGGATAGTTTCATGGAGCCTGAGAGAGCAGGTGTGAAGGTGCAGGACGAAGTCAAGGTAGCAGTTGTCTTGAAGTGCATAACGGAACAGCTCAGGACCTCTGCCAACCTACAGTTGTCTGAGGGGATGACCTGCATGGAACTTTTAGAGGCTTTGCTCAAGTATGACAGGGCCCAACAACGTTGGTCACACCTTGTTCAGACGTCCGAAGATACAGCGATGGAGGTTGACAGGGCGCAGGGCAAAGGAAAAGGCAAGAAAGGTGGCAAGGATGCCAAAGCAAAAGGAAAGAAGGGCAAAGATGAGAAAGGAAACTCAACAGGAAAATCTGGCTCTCGGCAGTCAAGAAAAGGCAAGAATGGCAGGGCAAGAAGGGCGAGAGCAAGGGCAAGCAGTCTCGGAACTATGAGCCCAAAGGGAAAGGAAAAGGACAGAATGATGAGAAGAGATGTTTCCAGTGCAATGGCGCAGGGCATTTTGCCAAGGATTGCAGGGTGTGTGTGGTGACTGAGGAAAAGAGAGACGGGACTCCAAGTCAGAGGGCGGGCCCACCCCCTTCGTCGGGGGTGCTTAAGGGGTCATGAAGTGCCCCCCTTCCCCCCCTGTGATTTCTTTTTGTTTACGTGTCTACACAATGCTGTCATGCATGTTGACATGTACACCTAATTCATATCTTTCATGCGCACTCCGCATGGCTCAAGACTAGCAGAATCTTGCGTAGAGAAAAGAGTGTAGTCGCCGCTGCTTGACACAGGTGTTGTGTATATAGTTCCAGGGCTCCCTTAAAGGGGAAAGCTACCTCAAAGTGGTAGCGGAGCCTGTGCCTTCGCCAAGTCTAGATCCGTGTGCCGAACTGCCGTTCTCTGCATACATTCCGTATATCGGACTTGCGGAGGCAACCTGTAGGTCAAGTTAGAGTAGCTGCCATGGTCTTAATCCACAACATGGATTCAGATGAAGAACAACTCCAGATTGTCTCTTATGAAGAGCCTGAAGCATATGCCGCCACCAGTCATTCCGAAAACCGGATGGGCATCAAAATGACACCGAAGGTTCCACCCCAATTTGATGGCCAATCAAGCTGGTTTGAATATGAAGATTTAATTGATGACTGGTTAGGGATCACAACATTGGATGCAGATAAACATGGACCATCATTAAAGAATGCCCTCATTGGTTCCGCTTCTTTTATAAGTCGATGCTCGATAATGCCCTACTCCGAGATCCGGATCGTGGCCTCGCTCATTTCAAGGACACATTGAGACCATACTTCGTGAAGGGAGTAAATCATGTGTTCCTTTGGCGATTCCTCCAGATGTTTCGCACATATCGAGGCCAGAGCGAATTCGTGCACTGGATAGGGCGATTGAGATCGCGCAGAAGCGTTTGTTGGCTTCTTGGTCCGATCTGCTGGACATATCCGATCTTCCCGAGGCAGGCACTCAGGCATTTACGGCAGCACTCACAGATGAGCAAAGACTGCACTATAACCAGATAGTAACAGATGAAGATAAGCTAGCTTATCAACAAGAACTGAGAGAACAGACCATAACCAATAGAAGGACCAGACATGCACAGCAGTTTCCATTGTCAGACAATTTGATGTCACTGATTTTTCTAGTACAAGCAGACCTCAACGAGCAACAACGAGAGCGTTTTGTCTCGTCCATGAATATCCGTCAGATCGCAATGCCTCAATATACCTATCTCCAAGTGAAACAGCTGTTCTTAGAACTTTTTGCCGTTTCTCGCACAGGTGTTCCAGACCCAAACATCACGCACCGCAAGCGGTCCAACTTCTACGTCATCGACGAGGGCGAGACCGAGGAAGGTGAGTACGGATTTTGGGTCTTTGATGAAGAGACGGGTGAAGAAGGTTTCACAGGTCTGTACACGGAGAACGAGTTCTGGGTTCTCAGCGCCAAGGGTTCATACTCTAAGCGCCGCATCTACGGCAGGTCCTTCAAGAAAGGTAGACCAAAAGGTTATGGCAAGAAAGGAGGAAAAAGATCAAGACCCGGCTTCCGCTCGAGGTCAAAAGGCAAAGGTTTTGCAGCATGGGAAGATGACCAGCAAGACACAGCTTTCTGGGGAAAAGGCAAGGGCAAAGGAAAAGGTAAAAAGGGCAAGAAAGGAATGATGAAAGGAAAGGATTCTTTCAAAGGAATGCCTTCATGGAAAGGAAAAGGAAAAGGTGATGCGAAGAACAAAGGAGGAAACAATCCATTTTTGTCACAACCTCCACAAGCTAATGTAGCACAGGCTGCAACATCCAGTGCATCACAAGCCCCTGAAAAACAAGAAACAGCCCATGCCGAAGAAAGCTGGAGTTATGACTATGACACCTACTGGACAGATGACTGGTCAGGTTATGAATCCTACTATGGATATGATGGAGATTACTCCCAAGGTGATTGGTACAATTGGTCATATTTTGCTTCCACTGAGGAACTGACCGAATCT